GTTCATGCCATACAACACTCGGGGACATGGATATCATGATACAGGATCACCATTGAAGTCCAGATAAAGTCAAAAGATAGACTACTGGGGTGCTTCTCCATCCCTGTCCATGTGTCGGTTCTCATTATTAACAGAATGCAACCGGGAAATCTAATCTAATCATTTCCCCAGACGGAGGACCGCTTATTATGTAAAAAGAACCCCGGTGACAGGAACCATCTTTTTGCCCCAAACTCAAGGAGCTCTCAGCAACTTATTAGGTAATGGAAATGAGATTTGATATATGAGTAGTTAGGTACGGACTACCTAGTATATATTCTTTATATATATACTGGGGGTGAACCTCGGCATCGTCGCCACCATGTGTTCTCCTTTTCTCTGTCGGCCTCGCCGGCCTTTGTGTCGACACCATCCGACTAAAAGAAACTCTCTTGGCCATGCTTAGCTATGTCTTCTTCCTCCCAGGAGAGGTGGAGTCTACCCCATTGGGTGGTTGGGATTGGTGTCACTGGTCGCTCACCAATGAGGCTGGGTACATTAGTACGCTGTCCGGGTCCCTGCTCCAGGGGGCGCTCAGCGTGGCGCTTGGATACAGAAAGGGCAGATAAGGTTCGGTCTCGCCGGTTCTTTGTTTTTTGTCGTCGACTCCCTGAAAGTCTGGTCTCCTGTATGTAACGTTCCCTACGTACTTGGCTTTTTGAGTTATCTAGTAGTTCCGAAACAGCTTGTTGGGTGCCTAACCTGTCATGCGGGGGTTGCGGGGAAATACTAGGAAGTATCCAGGTCTCTATGAATACCCCGGTCATCAAGAGACCATTTAATATACGACGTTTGTACACACCGGTGCCCTCTACAGTCCCAACAACTTGGATCCTGCAATGGTCTCTACATTCAACACCAATTCTCGTATTTCTTCTCCATTGCATTTACCTAATGACGTCGCATCGATCAATGCGCCCTGCGATAGATTCCTCTGATCCCTCAGTCCTCTCCCGGTACAGCTACTGACACTACACATCGTGATCATAAAAAAAAAAAAAATACTCCGCAATGTCGAAGCCTTTCTCGTGCGTGGGGAGATAGAAGGATCAGTTGTGACTGACGCTATTTGACTGGTGCCCGCTCGATCGACATTTCTTGGATCCTCAACCGGAAAGACTTTTCGTCAAATATGGTTATGAGATTAGAATGATCAACCAACACAGGGACTGGCTAGGGTGAATTCTGGCCTCGTTCTAGACTGCGACTCCCTAACCCATGGCACATCACATGGGGTCTCCGTAGATGATAATAATCATGTCCGGCAGGAATACATCCTGAACTCAGCATGATGTAGCTGGAGGTCTTCGCTATGAAAGCTACATACAGCAAGGCGGAAAAAAAGTGTTGTGGAGAACGGGACGAGGAGATAGGCAATACCCAAAGAGAGCAAGTAATAAAAAGAAAAAAGAATGACCGACGCAGGGATCGAACCTGCAATCTCTTGATTCGTAGTCAAGCGCCTTGCCATTGGGCCAGCCGGCCTGGTTGTTGAGAAAGATTCTGTTTTTTGGTTCTATTAAGAAAATCTATTAAATTGTTAAGCATATCCATCTAAATCACAGCTGAAATGTCCATTAATTTCAGTTAAAAATAGTACGACTGTCTACGTATATATTCTCTTCATTATATATAGTTATAACATCACAACGTAAAATGTTCTGCATCTTGGAGAGTTAATCGTGTGGATCAGTAATAAGTTTGCAAATATATACCTTTGAACAATCAACTAGCAACTCTAAAACCAGTCCACTGTCGGTTTGACTATATATCAAGCGTCGTATCGGAGTACTCAGTGACATCCGCTCCCGTTATTTTATAGATTTTCGTGCCGTCAAGTGAGAAATGAATTTGGCTAGACTTTGTTGTCAATGGTCCTCAGACAACCGTTTCCCAGGGGCCAGGAGCAATGACGATAAAGCAAACATCGCTCTTAAAGACCAATGAGCGTCGATAGCCCCAGACAGCTGTACCTTCAAGATACAATTTTATCCTATATTGAGCTTGGGTACGATCCGATCGTCCAACTATGTCCTGTAGGCATAGTCATTCTGTCGTTATGTTGGCCATAAGACAGACATGATGCCTTTCCTCAAACTGATAGACGTATAAGGGGCATAACGAAACTACTAGCTTCGAAGGAGCACTATAACTGATCGCAAGCCAGGAAGCTCCCTTTTACCCCGAATAAAACCATCTGTCTCCACCCCTTTATGTAGAGTGGTTCTAGCCCATGGTAACCAATTTTATTGCACATTAGATAGCAATGAAAAGCCAGCAACATTGAACGAGGTAACACCGAAACTCTAGCAGTATGGTAAGATAAAGGGCATCAGGGGATGGATGCCCTGCGTGTCTCCATCTTCACTGTTGAAGAAGCCAACACAAGGCGATTCCAACGATGGAGGACCCATTCGTCATGTCTCACTCAATACGAGAAGCGGGTAATCGAATTTCTCGCACTTGTCGTTAGAAACACGTGCACTTTCCTCCTATATGCCGGACGAGATGATTGTCTGGAGGGTGGCATTAAAATCGAGTAATTCCATTAGATTTAGTAGCTGGAAACCCTTTCCGATTCCACGACGTGGTCATTGTAGAGGCAAGTAGCCTAGGGGGGATCGACTATAAGGGTACTAAGGAGTATAAAAGCTCATGGTCGTATATGAGGGTAGGAGATAGTGTTATAGATAGTACTCCGTACTCCGTACTGAGAGGCTGAATCATAGCCGAGGAAGCAAGCGGACGGAATAACTCCATGCCGGTGTCATGGGCAGAATGCGGGGAAAAAAAAGTCAGTGCTTCTCATTACCCCAGGTCTTGCTGCATTAGCGGTCCTGGTGGAGATGGCATATCCATTAATAAGAGAAATGCCGATGATAGGCTGCATATCGCCTCTTCTGGGCTTATCCACGAATCACCGACGATAGAACCGCCGAGTTGGGAGTCTTTATCAATTTTAGATCGTCCGTCGCGTCGGATGAGCGATAAGAGCCCGTTTCGTTCCGTCGCTTCTCCTCACTCTCTGCATCATGGATGCTATTGTCGTGGCTTCACTACTACCGCTATGAATTCCACTGGCCGTGTATGCGCGCGATGCGCCAAGATTGTACGTTGAATCCTGAAATGCAGATAGCGTGATCGCGGTTGACAGGGAATAGAAACAACGCTGTGATGGGGATGCCCCCTGTTCCCGCTGCGCTCGTATGTGTATCGCACGTTCAATATCGAATGACCGAGCTAATCTGGCCTCCTGTTAGGCCTAGGGCATATCTGCGAACCCCAACGCCCAGGCGGAAAAGTAGACCCCAAGACCATAGCCCATCGACGCCCCCGAGCATCCCGATCGCGCGGTGGTTGCCTGTGCTGCAAGGCAAGGTAAAACAACCTACGCGAAACAAGAGCTACGGCGTATTAGCGCGGGTATTAACTTCAGCAGGAAGAAGAAATGCGACGAGATCCACCCTCGCTGCAGTGATTGCCGCCGCTTAAACCTCCCTTGTCAATGGAAAGCCTCCCCGTCATTCTCAAGCTCCGCCGAACCGTCGCTTCCCCCCTCTTCCGAAAGCAGTCTATCTCTAGCTACCCCAGATCCGATCTCCCCTTCCGATGAAGCTGTGGATGATCCGATAGGAAGCTCATTCCCATGGCTGGCGGTGGAGGAGATCATCATGCCCGTCGCATCGCCCTGCGGATCCGCCAACCCTTATCTGCATAATGACGAAGAGCGCTCGCTCTTCAATCACTATCTACACATCGTAGCGCGCTCATTATCGCGGTCCGGTGATCCCGGCGGAAATCCCTTTTTGTCGATCTTGCTACCGATGGCAGCCAGTTCAGACACGGTAACTAGTGTAATTCTAGGCCTGAGCGGTTGCCATTGGAAACGTGTCTACCCAGGCATTTGGAATCGCGCATTAGCGCGCCAGGGCAAAGGTGTGTATAATCCCGCTGTCGGGTCCAGCGAAGCTAACCTCAAAAAGCATTGGCGCAAGTAAAACAACTTCTCTCAACGGCAGACGGCCAATCCACTCTGGAAGCCTGTACAACGGTGCTACTCCTCTGTCTAACTGAGCTATGTGATGGCAGTTCTCATGCATGGGAGTGGCATCTGAAAGCAGCCAGTGCACTCCTTGCTTCGGTGGGAGACCGTAGCCTTGAATCGACACTGGAAGGGAGGTTCTGTCTCCAGCTGTTCCGATATCTGGACTCCATGTCGACGATATCCCGCTGCAAGCCACCGCTGCTTCGGGAGGATGCGAAACTCACTGACCTTACCGCGAATACGTCCATTTGCAGTCTCCCGTCTGCCCCTGTAGATGCTGTCTCTGGGATGGCCCCAGCGTTGCTCGAACTTCTCGGCATGGTCAACTTGCTCGCGGCACATCGTAGCCGTCGCGTTGATGAACTCTCCGAGCTCGGATTTCGAACCGCTGCCTCTCATGTTCAGTCTCAGTTGGACTCGTGGAGAGCGGAATATGACGGCGTCGCGGGGACGGACTACGAGACAGATCAAGCTGCTACGGCCTTTGAATGGGCGGTTCGACTACGCCTGCATCAGGTGGTTGATGGGTATGATCCGCACCACGAGATGGTGGAAACCGCGGTTTCTCCTATTCTCAATGCTGTGATGACCATTCCATATGGTAGTCCTGTAGAGGGATGTTTACTTTTCCCGCTGGTAATTGCTGGGGCTAGTAGCACCGATGTTGAGAGACAGATGTTGGTCAAGGAAAGGCTAATGGTTATGGAGAACACTTTGGGATTTGGACATATTTCGCACGCCCGACAGTTACTGGAGACTGTATGGGCAGATGAGGCTGATAGAAATTGGGCCAGGGTGAGATATAGTTTGTTCCCCGGGATGGTATTTGTATGAGATGTTGTATAAATAACGAAGTGATGTGATGGAAATCATATATTGTAAATAGTTCAAGACATAAGGCGTTAACTTCATTTATCTACTGTGCAATCGCAGCGACCAACTCATCCAAATGCTTTCGCATGTCATATCCACAAACTTCCTCAATCGTCAACTTCCCAGGCCGATCGGCTGATGAACTCCAACCAATGCGTTCGCTGAGATCTTCTCGAGCCCTAAAACTGGCTTCCTGCACGCGGGTTGCTCTCGGCTTGCGCAGCTTTTCATATAAGCCCAGTCCTTCGGTGACACTGTATTGTTCGCGGAATGTGCGGTGGAAAACCAGGCCTAAAGCGCCGGCATCTTCGAAAGCCATACAAGACCCTTGGGATTGATCCGGCATCATTGGGTGGGCTGTTTCTTAGTACGATCGAATCTTCCATCAGGAGGAGGAAAGAAAAAACATACCAGCATCACCGAGAAGACAAACCTTGCCCTTAACCCAGTACGGGTAGGGTTCATGTCGATACACTATATCGTTTAGTAGGACCGCCTTGAGTAAAAAGAGGACAGGATGCATACATCGCCACATTTTTATATCCTCCGCGTTCAACATCAACTTCTTCATCCTCGGATCCAAACCGGGGAATGTATCCACCAGTTGTTGGGGCGTCGCGGAGATATTCCACCCATCGTCACGGAGTTCATTATACGCTGCCGGGTAGAAGCAGTAGCAGCTTACGACCTCGCCGTTGCTACAAGGCGACATGACAATCTTGTCGATGCCGAACCCGCCCCAATACTCGATGGCTTCGTTGGAGATATAATCGTCGAGTCCGAGGGAGCGCAGTTTATCGGCACCGATGATGCAGCGGTAGCAACATGAGGTGGACATGGTAAAATTGGGGGTGATTCCGATTAGGTTACGAGAGGAAGACTTGCTGATTTAGTACCCTGTCAATGGTACCAGGGGTATTGGGGCACGAAGACGTACACGAATGCCATCCGCCGCGACGATCAGATCGGCTGTCGCCGACACGCCGTTTTCAAATTGGATGATACCGGCTTCGGCGTCAAGCGCAGTGGCTTTATGATTCACTTCGAGGGTACACTTTGGTCCTTCGCCGGGCTCTTCAAAGGCCGACTTGAGAAGCTCTTTGTGGATATCGATCCGATGGAAGTTGTTGTAATCCTGTTGGTGTGACTCTTTAGCCAGGCAATATCTTCAAACTAGGGACGGAAGGGAAGACACACAGTCCCAAACTTCGATTTGTAGTCTCCTAATCCGTACTCGCTTTGTACCTCCCCAGTAGACCAATCGTGCATAATCAGTCTTTTCAGAATCACCTGGGGTTGTTAGCAGTGGCTTATCCAAGATATAGGCTATCGTACCGGTTTTGCGGCCTTGACGTCCACACCCCATTGCTCGAGGAACCTTGATCCGTTGGAAGCAGCACTTAACGAGGCTCCCACTTCGCCCGCGAAATCGTATCGCTCATACACCGTCACAGAATGCCCTTGACGCCGGAGGGCCACTGCAGCCGAGAGGCCACCAAGACCGGCGCCAATAATGGCAATGTTCAGAGGAGAGTCAGTGCGAGAGGGCATTGTGGTGCGTGTTCTTCTTGATCCGAATGATGATCATAAGTCATACTCTCGATGGGTCTTATATCTTTGCACGACTCGTGAAGTGACGTCTACTGTCATTCATCGCAGCGGCGGCAAGCTTCATCCGACGTTATCAGTGCGACAGCCAAGCCGGCCTATCTATGCGACGGATGCATAACAGTCTCCACTTACGGCTATCGCCATCACTCTAGGAAAGTATAGACAGCCAGAGGACCAGGATCGGTGCAGTTACGCTCAATTAACTCGAGCTAGAATCCCTTTAAGATCATGCCACCCTCAGTCTAAATCGCTCCAATGCAAATGCAGTGAGTGAAAATGACACCTACCAGCGAAAAAGATATCGGAATGAACGGCAAATTGTCCAGCGACGACTACGCCATCGGAGATCTGCACGATGACCGCGCACTGCTTCGGAAAGTCGATTGGCGAATCCTGCCTGTCATGTTTCTAACGTACTTCCTGCAATTTGTGGACAAAATTTCCCTTAATGTAGGAGGGCGCGACCCCTTGGCGCTAGGTTGTGCTCTAGAGCTGACTTGATGATAGTATGCGAATGTCATGGGCCTTCAAAATGATCTACATATGAGTGGGAATGACTTTTCATGGTTGGCAACGGCGTTCTTCCTGGCGTATGCCGTTGCCGAAATCCCCCAGGGTGTGTATAGCGTTGCTCAAACGTTCCAGCCTATCATATATGCTAATATATGCGCAGGCATTCTTCTCCAAAAATTCCCCATCACAAAGGTACTTGGGGTCAATGTATTCCTCTGGGGCGTGATTCTGTGTTGTTCAGCAGCTGCACAGAATTTCGCTGGCATGATAGCCTTACGTGTATTGCTTGGAATGCTGGAGGCTGTCATTGGTATGTCACAAGTGTTCTCGCTTCAGAACATATTACTCACGACTAGGCCAGCACCCGCCCTGACAATGTACACGAGCATGTGGTACACTCGCGCCGAGTCCACACCGAGATATGGGTTCTGGTACTGCGGCTTAGGCATGGGCCAGATCGTTGGAGGGCTGATTTCGTTCGCTGCTCAGCACGCACCCGCGGATATGTCCTTCCATGGGTGGCGTATCATGTTCGTCGTGATCGGCGTGGTGAATGTCGTCGCTTCTATATTGGTCTTATTTGTTCTACCAGAAAATGTTGAGAAAGCCAAGTTCCTCAGTCCAACCGAGCGCGACCGAATTGCACAACGTCTTCAAGACGACCAAGCTGGCGTCGGCCAGAAAGTCTTTCGCTGGGGCTCGGTGGTTGAAGCAATTGGTGATATGCAAACCTGGCTTCTCGTCCTCCTGACCATCTTGATTACCATCCCCAGCGGTGTTATTACCACATTCTCGTCCATTCTTATCAAAGACTTCGGATATACGTCGAAGCAAAGTGCGTTGCTCAATATGCCCTCAGGGGTCGTCAGCATTGTGGCAACGACCCTGTCTACATGGGCCATCGCTCGTGGATTCTCACGATGGCTGGCTATTGATGTATTGTTAATCCCGACGTTGCTGGGCTCGTGCTTAATGTCGTTCCTGCCGAGGAATAACCAGGCAGGCTGCTTGGCGGGCATTTACATGGTCAACACGGTATATTATATATATCCCTCTTGCCGATTGGGCAATCAAGAGTGAAACTAACTGAAGCTAGACGGTGGCTCCATTGGCACTGATTTTTGCCTGGACCGGAGCGAACTTCAAAGGGTATACGATGAAGGTATGTCTCCCTCTCCTTCCTATCACACTGGGCAATAACTGAGCGTCACAGGTGTCCGGCAGTTCTCTTGTCTCCGCCGCATTCAGTATTGCGAATGTTATTGGTCCTCAAACCTTCCAGGCGAAGGATGCTCCTGCGTAAGCACCGCTACTAGTAGTTCCATGCATCGCCAAATCTAACTATCCCAGGTACATACCGGCCAAAATAACGATTGTAGCGGTCAATGCCGGCGCGATAGTCGTATCCACTGCCCTCCGCATTGTGTATGGACGACGAAATGCGAGAGCCGATCGCCTGGGAACGCCGGCGAGAAGTCGCATGGAGGGAAAATTGGCGAACGGAAGGACGGCAGAGGAAGACGTCCATGACGACGTGAACTTTCGGTATGTGTATTAGCGGCTGGTTAAGGCACTCGGTGTTATTGCGTCATGGATCCATAATGTTACTATCAGTACTGCAAAGAAGCCACCATAAATGAATGATATTAAGCAAAACGGTGAAAGCAATTCGTTTCCGACGTATCCAATCCTTCGTAGACCAGAGACTCCACACTTTGAAAGTGTTCGATAAGGATAAGCCGCAAGCCTCCTTCCGAAATTGATTGCGTCGGATTCATGCATGAGACGATCGACTTACTACTAGTTGTCCGCCGCTCTAACCCAATTATCCGACGGACGTGGGATAAGTGAGCGAGTGACTACTGGAACCCTCCCTAGACTCGGCTTAGTACAAAAACCGTGCCATGCCCGACAGCTCTCATAGACAGCATCAGTGAACCTTTTTTTTTTTTACTTTTCGAAAAGTCACAGAACTAAGCATGTCCAAAATCCTAGTAACCGGCGCCAATGGCTTCATTGCCGCGCACTGCATCTCGCTCCTTCTTTCCACCAACCACCACGTCCGCGGCACAGTCCGCTCCGAACAAAAGGCGACCGCGACGCAAGCAGCCCTGTCTGCAGCAGGCGTGGATACAACGAACCTCGAACTGGTAGTTATCAGCGACCCGACTGAGGTAACCCAATTTGCACCCGCTGTGGCTGGTTGCAAGGGCATCTTGCATCTGGCGAGTGCGTTCAGCTACGATGCCGCGCCCGGGGAATTCGAGGAGAAGCTCCTTATTCCCGCCCTCAAGGGAACGGTCGCCGTATGCGAAGCTGCTTCAAAGTATCCCGAGGTCAAAAAGGTAGTGGTTATGTCGAGCTTTGCGGCGGTTTACGATGCCTCATTGGGAGCGCAACCCGGGAGGGTGTATACAGAGAAGGATTGGTGCCCGTTAACCTACGACGAGGGAAAGAATGCGAGTCTCGTTGTATGTATCCTTTTTATCTACCTTTCCTTGTCTGTTAAGACTAGCATGAATTTTGCACAGCACTAACCATCACAGCCAATTGCATACCGGGCATCGAAAGTGATAGCCGAGAAGGCAGCGTGGGATTACGTTCGCGACCACGAAGTCAGCTATCGGCTGGTTACACTGTGCCCCGGAATGGTCTTTGGCAAGATGATCCATCCGATTGAGTCGTTATCGCAATTGAATGCCAGCAACCAGATCGTGTGGGATGTGCTGAAGGGCAATGGAATCCCGCCTACGAAGGCTCCTGGTAAATCCCCGCTATTTCTGCCATCCACAACGTAAAGTCGTATATTGACGAGCACTTTCTAGTTTGGATTGACGTTGAGGATCTTGCCCGGACTAGTCTCCAGGCGCTCACCGTGGATCTACCGTCTCACCAGCGCTTCCTCGTGACGGAGGGATCGTACGACACGCAGGAGATAGCCGATATAGTCAGAAAAGCGCTGCCGGAGAGTCAGGTTAGGGTCGCAGAGGGGGAGCCCGGGAAACGGATTAAGGATACGCATTACTCGTGTGATTCAGGAAAGGTGCAACAGATGTTGGACGTGAGGTTTAAGCCGTTGAAAGAGAGCTTGGTGGCGTTAGCGAGACAGCTGTATGCGTTGGAGCAGGCCTCCTAGGCTAGCGCGTGGGAGATGCGCATTTGAGAAGGAAAGACAAACGGCCCCTGTAGTCAAAGCTATAAGTAGAAGAACCTATCTTAGCATTCATGCATAATTCACAATGCCTTGAGAGCTTTTCATGGACAGCTGTGGTCATCGACACTGCTTTAATTCCATAAATCTTATCCGCAAAGCAAATGCGGACTCAAGGTGAAAACACAATCCAGAGCAAGCACTTGCAATATATATTATTTGTTGACCACTAGTACCAAGAGCTGTGGCTTATGACAATGGTGGAGAATGTTATATTTAGTGTAAACATGATATTCCTACTGCAAAAGCGAAGCCTAGCTAGTCTACACTTGGGTAGTCGGTTTGTTCGTAAGACTCGTATTCAGCCTTCTTGACCATCCAGGTACACATTAGTACTTGTCAAACCTACGGATATATTCATATACTGATCTTATATTGCAGCAAGGTCATCACTCAAAGCATACAACTGAATCATAATCGCGATGAATCACTATGAGTACAAGACTACTGGGCTCAAGAAAGGCGTCGACAGTTCAAGTATTCTTCTATATCAGATTGAGTTGCCTTTGCTTTAAAAAGATAATACACTAAGTCTAATGTAAAGCAACACGGATGTGCGCGGCCGTCTTGTCTATAAACTCCCTCGCCTGCCATAAGTCTGTGCCACATCTCGTCAGTAAGGCTCTTGAAAAAAAAAAAAGAAAAAGAAAAACAAAAATGGAAATCGGCATACCTTTATCCATATGCATGAAAGGATGTGGTACGCCTTCAAATCTCTTGAGCGTAACTTCATTACCACCCTCCACTAGCTTCATTGCGTACGCCTCTCCTTCATCTCGTAGCGGATCACAGCCGGCAGTGTAAATAACCGTCTTGGGTAGGTTGGTAAAATTAGGCGCATTCATTGCATTCGCATACCAACTGATTTTATCCAATTGTTTCTTCCTCAATTCCACATCGCTGGAAAGACTTTCCCATTTGAGATTATCGAACCACTTCAGCCTGGCCCAGTTGAGAGTGGGCGCGTGCTCCATCTGTTGGACGGAGGGATACGGCGATTCACTTGCGGAGGCGTACTTGGAGATATCGTCAATGACAGGTGTGCCCACCGCAACGAGGTTTAGAGGGATGCTGGCATCCCTTGCTAGGTGGGCAACGATAAGGGCGATGTTTCCTCCAGCTGAGACGCCGCCAAGGGAGATGCGGGTAGTGTCGATGTTGAACTTGGAGCCGCCCTGGGAATGAATGTATTGCAGGGCGGCGAAGGAGTCTTGGATACCAATGGGGAACGGCTGTTCTGGGACCAAACGGTAACCGATATCGATTACACAAACGTCTGCCTTGACGGACAGATGCTTGCAGATATGAGCTTCAGTGTCGAGGTCGCCAAGACCCCAGCCTGCGGTCGGCATTAGTCTTCTGCTAGATAACATCTCCAGATGACAGAGAGGGAAGGACGAGCACAGTAGAGTTTGGGAAAATAAGCATACCACCGCCATGAAAATCAATATGCACCGGCCACGGCCCCGGAGACGAAGGCTCGTAGACTCGCACGGGAATCAAATCGCCATTATATCCCGGCACGGTTGCATCATATACTCTAGCTGGATCGGGGGCTGGACCGGTACCATAAGAGTACAGCACGGAATATTTCGATCGCAGAATGGACAAGTCTATGGGCTTGTTTGGGGTGTTGGCTACATTTTCATTGTAGAGTTTGATAAAGACGGGGTCCAAATGCGGCAGGACGGCCGGGTGGATAGGGTTCAGGGCTTCGTGTGCTGTCATTTTTTGCTTCTCTGGTTTGATTGTTGTCGTATGGTTGGATCTAGTGTGAATATACCAATGATTTATACACGGATTCGGCTGAACGTTCCTCAGACGATCGGCAGTTTCCGACGGCAACGTTCAATGCTAATCAGAAGGTGAGGTTGAAGCCAAAGCCACCCCCGCATCTCGTTCACTTATCTATGCGACGGTCCGATCGTCGGATAACGTTTCAACTTAGCCGACCCAAGGGTCCCAGTCAAGATGATAATGATGTCAATGGCAGTACTGGTAATAAAGACGACACCTGTACCATGCCTTGCTCCTCGACGAAATCTCAAAGACTCACAACATTATGGATCCTGTTCTCATTGTTGGCGCCGGCATTGTCGGCTTAACCCTCGGCCAGGCCCTAAAGAAGGTTTTGCTCCCCCTACACCTATCCTCAACATGGAGTTAAAGAAGAATCATATTAACAGCGAATAGAAAGGTATCCCGTTTGAAATTTATGAGCGAGACCCCACGCCCGATGCTCGCGGTCAAGGCTGGGCTATAACCCTCCATTGGGCGCTGGAATATCTCCAGCAGATGCTCCCCGCAGACGTTCTCGCCCGAATTCAAGACGTCCAAGTTGATCCGGATGTTGCACTGAACGATAATGGAAATTTTCTGTTTATAAATCTTGCCACGGGGGAGCCGAAATTCAAGATCCCGCCGTCTGTGCGGTGGCGCGTAAACCGGGAGAAAATGAGAAAGGCCTTGCTTCACGGAATCGAAGACCGTGTGCACTGGGATCGAAGAGTGATGGGTGTGGATCTAGAAACTGTACCGGAAAAGGTGACCTTGGAGTTCAGTGATGGATCCTCAGTGACCGGAAAAATGGTTGTGGGAATTGAGGGTAGTCGGTCAGCGATCAGACAAATGTTGAGGCCCGATGCGTACAGTAACGTGCTGCTACCCATCCGATTTACAGGAGTCGCTGTGGATCTCTCCCCGGAAGATATCAAACCGCTTCGGTCTATGGATCCGCTTTTGTTTCAAGGATGTCACCCTGAGACCGGGGCGTTCTTCTGGTTCTCTATGCTGGAGACTCCACTCGTGAATGGGACAGTTGGTACAGAGCGTGAACGGTATCGAGCGCAGATCTGCATGTCCTGGCCGGTACATACCTCCGCCGATGAGGTAGCTGATACTGATAAGGGCCGTCTGGCCAACATGAAGCGCCGGGCCGAAGGCTTTGTACCCGTTTTAAGAAACACGGTACAAAAGATACCCGAAGGGACTCCCGTCCTAGAAATCAAATTGGCGGACTGGGAGTGCCTGGACTGGGATAATAAGAATGGCCGAGTGACGCTGGCTGGGGACGCCGCGCATGCTATGACAATGTGTAAGTGGCACATAACTGTCCGGACAATGGAAGGATACTGACGAAGACTAGATCGCGGTGAGGCTGCAAATCACGGACTTCTAGATGCATTCCATCTGGCGGATGCCATTGCTCAAATTTACTCCGGACAAACTGGCCAAAAGACTGCACTTGAGGTATATGAAACAGAGATGAGAATGCGTACGCAGCGGGCGGTCCGATTAAGTCGACAGGCATGTCGTGATGCACATGCTTGGGAGCAGTTAAATGAGCATTCAGCGATATTGACCAAACGATCAGTTGTTGGCGAATCGGCACGCCTGGCATGACTGTAACGAGATTCGTAGCTTTTCATTTCTATACATTATGAATATGTACCATTTTTCACTTACGCATTAGACATGATTAGGTTTCTAGCTATGCTCTGTGTTAGGTATTAAATTGACTTCTTGAAACTCCCCAAGACAATGACTCGTATTGAGTAAAAGTAGAGGCCAGCTTCACGCGGAGTGACCTGGTAGAAGCATAAAACATCGCAGTATGCTTTCCTGTTTATAAATAGTGCCTTAAGCAGGGAAGCAAAAAATGAAATCTCTCTAGAGGACGGACGACTACGATGATTAAAAGGAACGCCGATAAGGCCACCCAGAAGAACAGGAGCAAGTCTATATGAAAGTGAATGGTAATCATAGGTTCACCTTCTCCACCGGTAATAATATACAGTTCTCTCGAGGCGCAATACTATATGGTTGGATATAGTTCGACTCGTCAGCTAGACGCCTTATGATGTCTTAAACCTGGAATATAATCCATACTATTAGAGCATCCAATTGACGGCATTTGCACGTCACCCCAGTTGCAAGTGAGTCTGATATCCACCCGACTTAGGCTTTCTGCATAACCTCCAGTGTTAGTTGTGTTTACAATCATCCCAACAAGTATCCACTATGTCTCCTACAAACGCTGGACTGGGAAATTTTGCAAAGCTGCCACCCAAGCTGCGGCTTTGTATATGGGATTGGTTGATTCTCAGGCATATTATTCGCACAATAAGCGGTCCCCCAATTTTCGAGCAGAGGCAAACACGTCTCGCTATTCTTCGCACCAGCAAGGAGTTATAGGCGGAAGTATCAATCACTTGTACTCCCTCCAGAACCTTGTTAATATTTTTATACATGTACCATTGATATGAGATATACATGTACAGTTCTTGAGTAGTAGGAGGTCCAGGTGGCATCAGGGCGGGCAGGGGCTGAAGAGCATCAGATATTTACCATGGTATAATCTCGAATTCCACGATCACAAGATTATATATCTGCAATTCTGCCGACTTAAGGAAGTCCAATCCATGAGAGCATCGTACTCAATTGAGTTGGATAGGGTGCTACGCTGGACAATAGAAGACGGTGCAGGTGTGCACCTCTTCAAGAAAGACTGAAAACAACCGCCATTGCACCTGCGACGGCCCACACTTTCATATTTCCGCTGAGTTTGAAAGTATTTACGATTTCTTCACCAGTATGAATAAGTGTTTCAGATTGAAACGAAAGTTACTCGGAAAGAGGATAGAAAGTTGGCTTGTTGGTATGTTAGGCAGACCCGGGAAGGATACTTACGGCCCATGGAGTCTGCGCATTCAAAAATGGCCCCTCTCCAGTGCTTTTCTCTTACTCGTTGTATTACTTGCGCTATTCATAGTCATGCTCTTCAGTGTCAGACATAGGACAGAGAGTATTGGGTATCACCGGGTATACTGTACACTTTTCTAAATCTAATAACAAGCCAATGTCAGCTAACAAGCAGGAGCTCCGTTGTGGGATGTCGTGAGATACCAGAACGTTCAATTCCACGCTCAGTGTGGCAGCACACCACCATTCAAAGGGCCAGTACGACCAGGGATACACAAAGTATGGGGAGATGTAGGAAGAGGTAAGTGAACGAATTCAACACGTACCGTTCCACTTTAGCTAATCGCATACTTTACCTAACTTGGAGGATCACATATTCATCGACGGACACGACAGGGACGCTCCTGGTGAGCCGAAAGACAATACGACCAAACTTGGAAACAAACACGTTGCGCTCGTGTAGGCTTTCGGCCAGGTTCATTGGGTCGATCGAGTGCGCAAGTTTGTCCATCGCGGTGACTACCCAGACAAGATGGCGTTTGAGAATTTGAGGTGGACATCATTGAACATGCAAGTGCGTATACTCAAGACTGAACAACAGCTGGCCTTGGTTGATACTATATACTAAAGTGTGTTTGATGACATGCGTCCTGCAAAACCTTTTAGGTCAAGATTCTCCAATGAACACATGTGCCGAAGAATCCCCACCATTATAACCCTTGTTGGAGAAATTCCACGACGCGAGAAGACTGTCGAGGTGACCGTCAATCTTCCTCCAGGGTCTTTGGATAATTTTACTGATCACTACAGGCCTCTAACATGAGCCACGTCAGTTATAGCCCAAGCAACTTCGCCTTCAAGTTGAGTTTTCAGAACCCACGAGGGAGGCCCACCATGGCTCTTGTAAGCCAGGAACTATCGCGCTGCTCAAAGTAACGGTCGTTTGATTATTCGATTTTTCAAGGCATGCATGCTGAGAACAAAGCAAAGTAACCGCAATGACAATTTCTTGGTCAGCTCTAGCAGACTCAATCCTACACACCATTGTCCCCCAAGTCTATGGCTGGACCAGTGGCGAGAAAGAGCTAAGCGGGCAGGCATGGGTTCTCGAAGAATACATTCCTGGAGTGAACCTGTTTAATAACTTCCCCTCTCTTCCTTGCGACACACAACGAGGCATTATTAGAACAGACTACAATTTCCCTGAAACTATAAAGAGCTATGGGGGCTTGGACTTCTATGCCGATGGCCACGTGTGTGCGGGTCCACCAAGCTTTCAAGTAGTTGAAGGCCCTTTTCTTTTACATGCCGGCTTCTATAGGGGTCTCCTTAATTGGCAAATGAGTCATCCGATCGGTATAAACTGACCAAAGGTTGGCGGACCAGTGACCTGCGCGGTCGACTGGACCAATTTGTGGCCTTTGCGCCAGGGTCCGGCAGCATTTTGCAGTGGCCGCGATGTCCAATGGGGTCTTGCAAAAGGCATGGAATGATGAACTGGCCAAGGTTGGAGCGCTGTGGCCGCCAACAATTGACAGCGCAGACGCCTTCTCGCGGGTTCATTGGTTTCATCCAGGACCTCTGACCGTGGTACTTGTTTGACCTGACTGTCTTAGAGATCCGGAGTACTGAGCAGTTGGAAGAAGCTTGCCAGGAAGTTGAGGTGACACTGGGGAAGTAATATGGTAGTTGGGGATTCTAGTCTTTTTCTTAATTCAAGTACACTGCTGTTAGATATATCATAACACAGCCACAATGTTTGTCTGGTTTATAGACGAGGCTGCACGACAGGATATCTTTTTGGCGTCAGCTTTGTCAGGCAAAAAAGTGTGGCAGGATAACTGTCTGATAACAAAAGTCTCTAACAGACGCATGGATATTGCGAAGCTTCACATGAATTATTGAAGGAAGGCGTCACAAGAAGAAGCAAACAGCTTATTTTCACAGAGAAACCGAAACTGGGCGCTTGATACAGCATAGTTGTAGCTCTATGGCGTCTTCTAGGATAGTCTAAGTACCCCATAGCTTGAGTAAAGAAAATAACATATATTTACCATTGGTGGAAATTTGTTCTCGGGGCTCTAGGAGGTAATAAGGGGAGAGCCGACTCGTCGTCCCAAATAAATTGGATCTCCGGGATACCCGAAGTGTGATAGATACAACATTGGTCTGAGGCCAACCCTAGGTTTGGGCCGAACTGATCGGCATTCACAAACTATGAAATAGCGACTGCAAATATCACATGAATCAGTTCCAGTGATGCCAAGAGCTTACATGACGTTTCTCAAGTTTTATTAAATTAGACGCCCTGAACCTAGAAGCCAACGTCGATGCTAGATCACCGAGTGTGGAGACTGTCGACATTCGACTATTGCACAACTTAGGTACCTATAAATTCATAATGGCCGGGAAATTTATCGCATGCACCCCGCTGCATCTCACCATAACCACGTCCTCGGTTTTTCTCCATTAAGTCGTCATCCTTGCCAGCTCCAAAGCAGTTGCATTGACCATGGGAGTAACGATGGAACATGTGAAAGAAGCCAACCGCATCCATCTAGACCTAAACGAGGTATCTGTACGCATTGCATGACCAGTCTGAGGTATACCGTATGACGAGGGGTTTAAGCTAGAGACCTGGTTCCGTCTGTTATGTGCTCTCGCTACAATGCAATGGGGGGTGACTCTCGGTCTATCCTTGGAGGAGGCCTAGTACTTATCCTGGAGCAGAGGGGGAACTATGTATATGTGGCAGCACCACTATGACTCGTGAAGACCGCCCGGACATTGACTGGTTAGTTCTACTAGGCTAAATTCACCAAGCCTATAGGCTCCGAAGCTATGATGGCCTACTGATACCGGCAACCTGGCACCGACTAGCACGACTAATTCCAGTACTCTGTTCTTCGCTATTCCTTTGCTAGAGCTCATTAGTCTTAGTCCTGGCGAGATCGTGTGTTAAATTGTTTGTTTTTGCGAGTAACCAAGACTTTTAAAGTTACAGGTATTAATTACTCAGGAGAGTATTATGGTTAAGGTCCATCGCCGCCTGTAAGGTGGCAAAAGATCCTCCAAAGTTGATAGGGCTCTAGAAGGGCTTATAAATTTCAGCCTTCAGGAGCTTCGTTAAAGCACAGCTCAACGGGACAAGAATAGAGCACTAACTCGGATTTGGATGGAGTTCAATTTCGCCTAGGCCACCTGTTCCTTTGTTTCACCCATTCTGAGAAGCTTCTGATTTATCCCCTGAGCGGGTTCTTGGCTACGATGTACTAGTCCGTGGTACTTCCCCCCGACTCCCAGGAAGTCGATTCCGATGATACTTACGGGGAAGAGTGCTATCCCCGTTGCGGCAGCCGACCCAGACTTTGGAGTGGATCTTCACGCAGAGAAGTCGCATTCGAAGGGTGCGTAACGCCACTCAACCAACTCAATTGATCCCCTTTTGGAACCTGTGAGGACCGCGAGCGTGTCTACCCTTGCCCCTTGCATTTGCTCCTTACTTGAGCGTTAAGAGACTTGCGTCTTCCTCGGCGATCGGCGATTGTCGAAAATAGCAGCATCGTGCGGGCGTGCGCGGGGGGTTGCGGGCCGCGGCTTGGAAACTATCTTCCCTCTAGGCGATTAGGCGATTATGCGCATTACACCGGGGAACACTAGCCTCTGTTTTCCTCGCACTGGAGCGCTAGCACCTCGTGTTTGCTCGGGATTCCCATGGTTCACCTTCCGAGGTTATCCACTTGTTGGTAGCTTCTGATTCTGACTGACAGGAGTCCACTCTGGATCAGGTATATGATCGCCATGATATACCATGGTTAACTTTTTCTTGTCTGTCGGAATCGGCCGTCAGGGCTTGCTTAGACGATTTGAAACAGGCTGGTTGAGTCTAGGATGGTCGAATCGCAAAGTTAACAGCCTGGTTGCTTTTATATCCTCTTTCCTACATTCTCCTTTGATTTTATTGTATTTTTTAGTGTATTTTTCTTAGTCTATTCATTTAGGCTTCTTGCTTTTCATTTCATTTCAGTTTATTTATTTTTCTTTTTTGGCGCCATCTCACTACTTTTAGGGCTTCGGCTTTGTAATCTCCCAAAATGGACATTTGATCGGAACATCCCCGACTAAACAAATCCACTCCACTTCAGAGTCCAGAGTCCAGGCGTGTGGGAAAAAAAAAAGGGGGCAAAACTACCGCCGTGGCAAATTGGCGTTCGGCAAATTTAGCTTGAGGTTCTCCCGTCGGCATTTTGTACGCCAAAGAGGGCCTTTTGGGCGGACTTCCATTGGTCTTCTCGAATCATCCTGCGCATTGTCCTCGCAGCTGAAGCGGCGCCGTCCGACTAGACTGAAGCGTCCGGGATCAATAGGCATTCTTGGCACGGAGGAACGTTTTCCGAGCATTTCGGGGAGGAACCTGAAGTTTGAAACTTTGCGTGAGCCCCGGATACGCTCCGGCAAGGCATGGGAGGCGCAACAAGAACCAGCTTTGGCAGACGTATCCCCCAGAACCTTTTTACCATAACACCGTAGATCATAAGCCAGGGCTATGGCAGTCGCACTCTTATACTGGCGGAATCCAAGCATTGATGCTGTTGCACAGCGGAGAATGCCGATCTATTCATCCTTTTATAAAACCTTGCCGACGGAATTGCCAGCGGGCCAGCGGTTGGAATGATCGTCGATATTTAATTGCGATGTCAGAAGCTAGTGGGGTCCACTTTGCTTCAAGTGGACCAACTTGTCTATTCCTAATCACGCCTTGAAGCAAGACGCAAAGTTGAGAATGAGTTGAATCGAGTCATGTACCCAAATGGCATTCTGAGCCTCCAATCCCCACAGTAGGAGGCGGGGGAAACTTATCTGTGGCGGTTTAGCATCGTGTCTGCTAACTTTTTTTTTTCTTTTCCCTCTCTTTCTTTCATGGTTTTCCTTTCCATCACACAATAACTACATCCCATATGCCGATTGACGTTGGCTTACCAGTGGACGATGGCCATAATTGCTGACGATGCGCCACACGTGGCGGGAAGTGTGATAATGCTTACTCTGGTGGCTTTTATCACCTATGCCCTGCGAGTCTATTGTAGATTGAGCAGGAGGTCTTGGGGCGCAGAAGATTGGATCATGACCTCCGCAGTGGTAAATGCCCCCTTGAGAGCACTTAATAAGGAGCCCAATTGACATTTTTGATGACAACAGATACCCTTCTGTGTGCTTACCGCAGGCTGCCTTGGAGGCGCGTTCAACGGGATCGGTATCCATAATACACTGTTGAATGAGCCTGAGAATGTAAAGTATCAGGCCGAAGGCCAGAAGGTTCGACACACCCTTTGCCCTTTAGGGTTACCTGGACGCTAATTGAAGCTTTAGTACTTCCTGATTTTCGAAGTTGGATATGTAGCCGCCATTATTCCGATTAAGCTCAGCATCAGCTGGATGTTAATCCGCGTGGCCGAGGGGCGGAAGCTGTACATAAATATCCAGTACGGCGTTATCGCAATGTTTGCAACGATGAATATTATTGCCCTGATATTCATCCTCATCAACTGCACCCCACCTGAGTACGACCAAGATATCCCGTCTATGCCACAAGCCAATTTGCTAAACGAAGTTTTAGGGCTGCGTGGAACACGAGTCTACTGGAAAAGGGGGGTTCCTGCCGACCTGCCCATGTGCTCACGGACATATACTACGCTACCACTGCTGTCAATATAGTCACTGACTGGGTTACGGCCTTAATGTGAGTCCAGAATTATGTGCCAGTCTAAAAGAAAGGAAAAGACTAACCTCAAGATTAGGCCGATCCCCCTGCTGTGGCATGTCCAGCTAGACCGCAACACGAAAGTCTCTATCATCGGGCTGATGGGCTTGGGTATCCTGTACGTCGCCTGTTGCAGCTTTGCCCAAACCAGTTGAACAATGAGACACTAACACACAGCAGGGCCTCTCTTTCAGCCTGTATTCGGCTCAAGTACACTGTCAACCTCACCAATCAAACCGACTTTCTCTTCGCGGTCGCCAATGTGGTTATCTGGGGGTTTGCAGAGAACGCCATCGGCATGATCGTCGGGAATATCGCTACACTCCGTCCCCTGTTCCACAGTTTTTTCGAACGAACGGTCCGCAGCAAAGGATACAGCAGCCAATCCCGCCGCACGGGTCCTTCGAGATTCGCCGCCTCGTATGAACTATCTGGGCACGGAAAGAGTGCCAACAACACGTTCACCACATCCGTGGTGGAGAGGGGGGTTCATGGAAAGAACCGGGATAGCTACACCCAGCTGAGCGACGGGGACAGCCAGAAGCAAATTATCCAAAAGGACGCAAATACTGATATAATGGTCAGTCGGCAGGTAAACATCACGTACGAGTAGCATTGAATGTTGCGCGCACGGATACAAAAATGTATATAATTTATATAATAGGTATTTCTTTTGTCTTATGGGATTTCGCTTATGATTTATGACGCGCCTCCAGGTGCTAGCAGGACTGCTCTTATCCCTCAAGCCCGACTAGTGGGATCTGTCCATAGAATGGGTGACCTTTTGGTGTCCGCTATCTATCCCTGGATGTAGTGTGCTGAATCAAGGTCAATGGTCACTGCGGATACTCAGTCATAGCAGACGGTCTGATTCTACACGACACATGTCTACACTTACGCGAATGGGAGGGAATATCGCCACCCAGGCAGCTAATTCAGAATAGTCCGAGATAAGGCTCACTAGCATCTTACTCGGTACAGATACTTTAACCGTATACCCGCCGTGAACAATCTACTATCCTTTTATAATCTCCAGCGGAACCTGGGATGCCGCCATTCCAGATCCTCGATCTGTCGGTCGGTCATCCCGTCAAGCACCCGGCCAACATCCTGTTTGTCCCGTCTCTTATTGTCCCAAGTCGACCAGAGCCAAAGACCTGCTGACGTTACGAGAATTGTTGCCCCCGTGGCTAGGTTGAGGCCATTGCCGATATAATAGTTGGGTGCGTCGAATGGCAGGAAGGACCAGGTAGCGACCAAGCCGCCGATATTACCCAGCATGACCACAGCTCCGATTGCTGATGCACGAGCTGTGTCCGAGATGACGTTGGCCGCTGAATGGGCGTTGCAAAGGACACCCACAGGGAAAGAACCGAAAGCAATCAAAAACGTGGCGCCGTAACGAACATGAGGGTCGCTACTGGCCAGAAACATCACATATCCAGCCATCATGAGTGGAGGTGCCAGAACAAAGAAGAGGAGTCGGCGATTAAAACGCGAGCTCAGGTAGGGGATTAAGAGTGTGGAGAAAGCGCCGATGATGTAGGGCGGCACTGTGTAGAGCTGCTGAGAGATGACGCTGCGGTCTGGGTAGATTGTCTTCACGATGGTGGGTGCAAAGAAGGCTAGGCCCTGGACAGTCACATTCACAAGGAGCATGATCCAAGCCGTCGCCAATGTGACGGGGTTGAAGATGCCGCGCATGGTCTTCTTCGTGTCGAGCTTGTCCAGGACTTCGGTCACGCCTGCATACTCTGACTCGGAGCGGATCCGCGCAATGGCCAGCTCTTTTTCCTCCTGCGTCAGCCAGCGGGCTGTCTCGGGTCGATCGGTGAGGGTCAGGAATGCAAAAATAGCAACCCCGATCGTTACAATACCCTCGATGGCAAAGATCATGCGCCACTCTTTCAAACTGCCGAAGGAAGGAAGTTTCAAGATGCCAGAAGCAAGTAGACCGCCGAAGGCACCGGCTAGAGGGGCCATGACCATGTACATGGAGATCCGAAAAGCAAGTTCCCTTCTCCGATACCATCGCGACAGATAGTAGGAGATGCCGGGGAGTAATCCTGCCTCAAAGGCACCTAAGAGGAAGCGCACCCCCGCGGCACTTGATAAGTTGTGGACAAATGCCGTGCACAAAGAGCATATCCCAAATCCCAAGGTCAGGGCAGGAATGACCCACCCCGGACCAAGCCATTTGCAGGCAATATTAGAAGGGATCTCGAAGATAATATAGGAAATATAAAATATAGAGAGCAAGGTGTTATAGTCATAGCTAGTCAGCCCTAGGTCTTCTTCCAGCCCGGCCAATTTCGCATTCCCTGTAGCAGGCAAATCATTAGCGTCACCCATCCACATCGCAAAAGGATTGAGCTCCCCGCTTAAGAACGAGGATTAATGTAGGGTATCTATACCAATGTTTGCTCGATCAATGAAACAGAAGAGGTACATCAGGGACGCGACGGGGACGATGTAGAGGTCGATCTTCAATCGCAGCCGGGACTCAGCAGCAGGATCCAACTCTATCGTAGGTGGGACCGATCTGGATATACAAAAGCTCGAGTTAGCCAATGTGTCGTCCGGAAATAAGGGATCCTGACCATACCGATTAGTTACAATAGGATCATAAACTTCGGTAATGCCGGTACTGTCGTCCTCGACATTCTGGGAACTAGTCTTTTCCTCAGACATCGCAAGAAACTTATTGGACCTCGGAATTGGTGAGCAATACAGAAAGGTCAATTATCAGATGAAGAGAGATATGAAGTGAAAGCGGCAGACCAACAATTTAGCTTGATGGGTACGGCATTTCCGCTTTATGTAGTCATAGAGGCGTAGTTAATGCCATGTCATTCCCAAGTTCAGCTCGAGATTAGTTCCGGCGGGGAAGGCAATAACCCTAGAGGCATAGAGCTGCTTCGAGTAGCCAACCATAACTGGAAAAAATAAGCCATGGCTCGCGAATTAACCAGTGAAATGATCTAGAATCCCTAATATTCAGTGGCGGGCAGCGGAAGAGCTTGGCATAGATGTTGGTGTGAGGATATAAAGAAACAGGTTCGGCAACAGAGCGCTGTATAAATGCCGGGATAGCGATATGGGGATCGAGGGCCCACCAATGCGAGGTCGGAGATTTCTCCATAATTGAAGTAGTCTAACACTGGATGCGGGGAATTCTTAGCTTCCATTTAGTATCTTAATCCCCTTCGCTAAGCAAGACCTGGTTATAGCTCAAGGTGCGGAGCGGACGATGTGTCTTGGCTAGCTTAGTACTTACTGAGGCCCACACGTGGACAGGCGTTGCAGGACCCAATGGAATTCAAGATGTCATGACCTTCTAGCGATATACGCGGATCTAGATCGCCGAGTGTATTCGATATCTCGCAGTCAGCAGTAACCAGACGTCGGTCCTGGGAAGATATATTCGGTCCCATGAGCCGGTGAACATTTCTTCTCAGGTTAGTCTGTGTGAGGTTACGAACCATTTACCCACTACCGATTAATGGGGTATAGGTCACACAACTACCTTAGTTCACCAAATATACGCAGTGGTGGAAATATGAAGTCATAGGTAGTTAAAAGACACCCGAGTTTGAAACCATGATATCCACATGTTTCTTAGAGTACGAGTCTCTTCCATGGAAGGTTGCTAAGAAGCTACACGAAAGGCTACTCGAACTTGCATGGCTTCCATATTCGTCGTGGAACATGTCGCAGAAGAAGCCTTGAGGGATATTCAATGAATTCTTTACATCCAATGGCTTGTAGAGCTGGCCCTTCGAGAGTGGGCCATATGGTTTGTCTCGGATAACTTCAAGAACAATCAGGACGGTCAGCTGAGCGAAATCAAGAGCCTAAAGCTTAGCACGATATTGTCGTAACTATATGCGTGCAAGATGTTGGAACAAACAGATCAATATGAAATATATCTATCTATACGTTCAAGGATAGCCACTTGGAGGACAAAAAAGTTGAAAGGATTCATTGCATATCAAAATATCACTGATCTGCTGTTCAACCAGACGGGGACTCCTCTGAGAACATGCGGGAAGTTGAATTCTTAGCTATCAGTACTCTAGTAGTGCCCCTGAATATCGTCAGCCGGTCGATCCGCCTCGAAGTCTGTCTGGAACAATTTTCTAACTCGGCAGTCGAGGGTACTGACATTTGCCGTGACCCAATGTGATGTGTGCACTTGCCATATAGCGATTCACGAAGCATAAGATGCTGAATGCTCTTGGGTCGATATGGGTGAAAGCAGCAGATGACGCATGACTTATCTGGACACGTTTCTGGAGAATAATATGATGAGATATAGGGCACCATCTAGCAGATCACTGCCAATCAGGGTGCAGTGCGAGTCTTTTTCATCCAATTAAGCGCCGCGAGTCCTGATTACTTGATGCCTGGGCTCCCACTTCTCCATTTTGTGCTTGGAACTCGGTAAATTTGCGACCGCCTATATGCCGACCACTGCATCTTCTGTTCTATTTTCAGTTTGTTATTATTCCCCCAGATCTCCCGAGTGGGTGGAGACAGCTGTCGTTGGCATGGACCGGGTGCTTTTGACAACGTCAACGGGGGAGCATCAGGATGCCAACAGTGGGACTTGTGGGGTAGTGCTGTGCGGGGTTCTCCATCCTTTGTCCCCTGATATCGATATCGTCTCTCAAATCTTCCGTAGCTGTAGCGATAATCATCCACTGAACCCTTGCGGGGCAACGTTGAAACCAAGTGTATCGGATGCTGTCACCCCTTCACAACTGCCGACCCTGCTGGTTACAGTTTGGCATGACATGTAACCTGGTCTCCTGGCGAGGATGAACGATACCTGGTGAGATGAGATAAATATTGGGTGCTCTGCTCATCGTATCACTCTCTCATAAAGTAGCCAGATAGATCCCATCATGACGCTTCTGGCCGAGATTTTCTCGCGCGCGACCACGGAGTATGCGCTGTATCTTCTCCCCTTCATGTCGCTGATTTATATCGGCCACTTGTACTTCCACAACGGCCTTAATCGCTACCCTGGTCCCTGTCTGGCCAAGTTTACCGACCTCTGGCGGTTCCTTGACGTATGGGGCCGGCAGCCTCATGAGTCGCATATCGCGCTACATCGCAAACATGGCGACATTGTGCGCATCGGGCCAAACACACTGTCCTTCAGCAACCCAGCTGCAACCAAGGTCATTTATGGGTTGAACAAGGGATTTACCAAGGTAAGTGCCACCGGCTTGTCAGACGTTATGCGGAAAGTCTGACGATATGGCAGTCCGAGTTCTACCCCGTTCAGATGACCGTCTCCAAAGGCGAGCCGTTGCCGTCCTTGTTCTCAACCTTGGATGAGAAGTTCCATGCGGAGCTCCGGCGCTCGGTTAACCATGCGTTCTCGATGAGCTCGCTAGTGCAGTACGAGCCCATGGTTGACGAGACCACGCTGCTCTTCCTCGACCAGACCGATCGCGTGTTCGCCACTGATGGTCAGGTCTGTGACTTCGCACGCTGGCTGCAGTTCTTCGCATTTGATGTTATCGGCAGTATTACTTACAGCAAGCGCCATGGCTTTATCGAGAAAAACGAGGACATTGATGGGATTGTCAAGTCCCTCGCTCGTATTTTCAACTATGCTGGGCCCATCGGCCAGATGCCTTGGCTGGATAAGGTATTCTGGAAGAACCCAATCTTCGACGCCATGCAAAAATGGGGGCTGCTGGATAATTCTCATCCCGTTGCGATCTTCGCACGCCAACGTATGGTAGAGCGCATGTCATCGAAGGCTGCGATCGATCCAAGTTCTCGCAATGATCTTCTCACCAAATTCATGAAAGCGGGCGAGTTGCGCCCCAACTTCATGACAGAGAAACGGGTCCTCACCATGGCCGTCTCTATGGCTTTTGCCGGGTCCGAAACGACTGCCATCAGTCTTGCAGCCGTATTCTACTATCTACTGAAGACGCCCGAGTACATGAGACGAGTGCGGGAGGAGTTGGACGAGGCGATCCGGAATGGTACAATCGAAGCCCGTTCAAGCGGGCTTGTCTCATGGGCCGAATCCCAGAAGCTTCCGTTCCTCGATGCATGCATCAAAGAGGCCTTCCGTATGTTCCCCGCTGCTGGTCTCCCCCTCGAGCGTGTTACTCCTCCCTCCGGTGCAGAGATCGCCGGCCAGTTCATTCCGGGGGGCACAATCGTCGGTTGTAGCCCATGGGTGATCCATCGTCGCGAGGAAATTTTCGGGTCTGATGTGGACACATATAACCCTGATCGATGGTTAAATGCCTCGGAGGATAAGTTAAAGACCATGAACGGCATGATGCTCCAGTTCGGTGCTGGTTCGAGGACATGCATCGGGAAAAACATCTCCTTGATGGAGATTTATAAACTAATTCCAAGTTTCTTAAGAAGATTCGACGTATGTATGACTACGTGACGGCGAACAGGATCATGCTAATGTTTGGATACACAGGTACGATTGGCATACCCCGAGCAGGAATGGAAACTGTGGAATGCCTGGTTTGTCCGGCAGTATAATTTCAACACTGTATTTACTCCGAGGAAGATTGAGGTACAGTAGTCACTTTACCCTAGAAGACTATATCAATTAAAAACCTAGATTTCTATTTTTTCTTTTGAAAAAAAAAAACAAAAAAAACCACCGTGTATTCGCAGTTTGACGCCCCTCTCCTCCAACACAGGCATGATGGCTTAAGGCAGCCGCACATAACAAACTATAGCGTGATGTTTCGATTAAATATGGCGTATCGTCATTAATAAGCGCAAGGCCGCATGATATATTAGCAGCCTCATAAGTCCCTATCAACCGGAACCCGGGAATGGACTTGCTTAATTCTCCAACCCTAGGAGAACTATATGCGTCCTGGACTTGTCGGATATCAGGTCGTTGGCTGTCATGACACCACCCCTATGAGGAAGCCTTGTAGACAACATCAAGCCCAACTGGATCACAGCCATCCGGAATGGTATCTCCAATGCTGTTGTTGTGATAATACAGACCAGGGAGGTCGCCAGTGCCGTCGCAAACTAGACAAATAGAAGATAGTTCGCATAACAATTCCTACCGACGTTTCCCGGACGCAGAAACTTACCTAACCACCCACCCCAATTGTCATTATCATTAACCAGAGCATTATCGCTGGTAAAACTGAAGCCCGTGCCACCGGATGAAGGGCTCACACTGATCTCCACCTCACTCTGGACTTCGTCGCCTGAGACGAGAGCCAACGCGTAGGGAGCTCCATTCGGTGCATTGTAGCGCACGGTCCCGTCAAGGAAGTAGAACTCGGCAGCGTCGGCGGCATCGCGAAAGACAGCCCTGCTGTTCAGTGGGTCGATGTGTTGCGTTGATAGGTAGAGACCGTTGTGGTGTTCATCGGAGTCATTTGAGCTGACCAGGTTAAAGATCCGTGGGATAGGGCTAGCGATGGCCGTTGTAGCCAGGAAGACGACACTGGTGAAGAACTTCATTACGGGGACTAATGAATAGTTGCAAATTGTCGTGGTACGAACGGCCGGGGGGGTACGACGCAGCTATTTATTTGCTAGAACGAGGATGATGATCACCGTGTGGAGTTGATGCGACCCCTTGGCTCCAATACCGGCTACCGAGCAGGCTCGCAGCTGCGTTACTGGAGTAAGCAAGTGCAGAGTGGCGAAGATGATCAGACCCACGGCTTCTATTACATCATGGATCCGCCGTGCAGACGAATTCTCCCCCAGTTCTGCATGGACCATGGGAAGAATGGCTACATTATCCGCTCCTCTTGGAATTTCCACCTAGGTGTCTAAGAAGCGAAATGATTGATTCAATCCGCTTTTCACCACCCAAGGTGCGGCAGTGTGTAGGGTCCTCATTGCCTCCCAACCGATATCTAGGCCTGCGGCACGAGCCTAAATGGTGGCTTCTACAGTACCTAAAGTATGCGGCTTTTACTTCCACTGATCGTGAGGTCATGCTGTCAATTTGTCGGCTCTCATACAGAGGATATACCCTTTGAATACTGAGTATCCTTACAGGGTTTCTGACCCTTGCGTCTCGGCGGTCAGGAAGGACAACCCTCCTGGACTCTTTCATACCGGGAAAGAGACAGATTCTTAGTACAATCTGGCATACAGATCTCTACATGGTATTCTAACTGTTATAGTAGGGATGATTGACAGCCTTGGGTGTGAAGCCTACCTGTCCAAAAAATGCGGCCAGTATGCCATGCCATGTATGAGCTCACCCTACGAATACTCGGTACCCGTCGGATGGAAAAAGTACCAGACCAGTCTCTGGCGCCTAAGTCTAATGTAGTATAAATTTAGTACCGATTTGTAGCAGAGGGAGACCAACCCGCGTACAGAGACAGTTACAACTTGTGGGGTAAATCCAACATCTCGGCAAAGAGCGAATGTCCGAGCCCTGACTAAACCCGAGGGCAGGCAAGAGATGGTCACTAAAAGTCTGCCAGCCTGCTCCACTTTTTTCACGTCTAGCTTCGTTTCCTCCAGCATTAGGGATTAGCTCCTGCACGGTTTAGATGGCCGTTGACGCAACGGTGCAAAAGTGATGTGCCGATTTGCCGATAGCCCCCAATAAAAGCCGCCAGAACCCTCAAGGCACGACTTGGAAAAGAAAAAAACAAAAAATGCAAGCAAAACCGAGCTGCAAAATGAGATGGGGATGACAGACTTGCCTGAGATTGACCACGCACGGCGTGCAGACGTAGAAAAGGCTGCTAATCATCGCGGACCGGACCCAAACTTGGTCGGGTGGGAGGAAAATGACCCAGAGAACCCGCATAACTTCTCGACGCTCTACAAATGTTGGATTACTTTCCAGCTCGGCATGCTGGCCCTGAGCGCCAGTTTAGGCTCGAGTATCATCTCCCCCGCGCAGACCAAGCTGGAAGCATACTTAGGTATTAGCGCCGAAGTCAGCATTCTCCCAGTGTCTCTTTACATGTAAGCCGCCTCTACCTGACCCGCGGGCATTCCACTGATAAGGAAAATACAGTCTTGGTTTCGCTTTTGGGCCACTATGCTGGGCTCCTATCTCGGAAATCTGGGGACGCCGCTGGTCGATGCTCCCGGCCGTGTTCCTGCTGGGCATTTTCAGTATCGGTACCGCAACGAGCAAGAATACCGCTGCCATCCTCGTCACCCGATACTTTGCAGGGGTTTTCGGCTCGGCTCCGGTCAGTAATGTATCGGCAGCCCTGGGGGACTTCTTTCATATGAAGGCGCGCGCCGTTGCCAGCACATCCTACGCCATCTGCGTTGTGGGCGGACCAACTATGGGGCCAATCATTGGCGCTGCCCTGGTCAACAATCCACGCCTGGGTTGGCGCTGGACCGAGTATATTGAGGCGATCATCGTCTTTTTTGTCTTCACAGTCACCTTCTTCTGTTTACCGGAGGTGTATGGCCCCGTCCTGCTACATAAAAAGGCGAAGCGCCTGCGCAAGGAGACCGGCAACCAAGAGTTATACCACCCCCACGAGCATATGAAAATCGATGCGTATAGTATTGTCACCAAGCATTTCTCCCGCCCGCTGGTCATGCTGGTGACGGAACCAATGGTGGCGGTTATTGCGCTATACGCCTCGTTCACCTATGCTCTACTTTACCTCACCCTTGAAGTGTTCCCCATTGTCTTTGCCGATATCCGCCAATGGAAGCCCGTTGTTGCCACCTTACCCTTCATCGGCCTCTTTGTTGGCGTCCTGCTGTCCGCCGCGTTCATCATTCTCGTCGGCCAGCCGTACTACATCCGCAAATGGGAAGAAGGCGGCGGGAAACCGGTCCCAGAGGCACGTCTGATGCCCATGGCGGTTGGAGGGTTTTTGTTCGCAGGGGGCCTCTTCTGGTTTGGCTGGACAGCGGAACCCTCCTATTCGTGGGGGCTCCCTGTCGTAGCCGCGGTGGTGTTCGGGTGCGGATTCTGTATCATCTTTGGCCAATGTATCAATTTCCTCGTCGATACCTACGGGCCATACGCGGCCTCAGCCACTGCCTCTAACACATTTTTGCGAAGTGTACTGGCTGCTGCATTCCCCCTTTTCGCTCAACAGATGTTCCACAATCTCGGTGTGGGACCAGCGATGTCGATCCTTGGGGGTATCGCAGCGGTACTGATTCCGGTTCCTTTTCTCTTCCGGATTTACGGCGTGCGGTTGAGAAAGATGTCGAGGTTTGCGCCTTTTAAAGGGTAATGGTTGAGGCATCGACAAAACTTGACCCTACAAACACGTCTAGCCACCTGGAAATGAAAAAGAAATACCGTGACGGTGGAAATACATGAGAGCCCATACTCTTTAAGTACCAGAGATTAAGGTAGCTTCAAGTATCTAATAAGGCGCTCTGGGCCAGTACTATGCAGGCTGCTGCTTGCACTTCAAGCTGGCATTACCACTCTTCTGAGTGTGATTTTCTGGCCTCGTCCAGTAACCGCGCTGGAGGAAGGCCACTTCAAGACAAAATTTTAACCGTGGGCGGTCGATCTAGTAAGGTTGGCCGGGTTATGTGGAGGTTCTTACCGTAGACTCTACATGCTAATTCCACACAGACTAGTTCATAATACACATATTCCATATCAGATGGATTGAATATGGACTGATCATGTTACCGAACGGTCCCCTTCACGGAGAGTTATATTTTTGTTTCTCGCATTGTATTTCGCCGACTTGGCTCGGTTTATTTGTTTCTAGCCACCATCTCAGTTACCGGTGTGCCTGTCCGTTTCTGTGGGACCAGGATAGCATCCACTACCCTAGGTAAAACATATGCCTTCTCGAGCAACGAATATCAAAGAGTAATATCAACCCCTGTCGAACTAGAGAAGTCCTATTACAGTTTTAATGTAGCTCGTAGCTCGTTACGAACTACAGATATGCCGATAAGCTGCTGTAGCGCGATGTAACTCCAGGCAGGGTAGGCACATCACTATTAGTCTCATAAATGTTGGTTAAGGATAGATAAGAACTAGTTTAATATTTAAATCAGAAGCCTATCTTGCTACAAGAGACGGGGGCCACTGGGAGTCCTTATAAATGTTCTCCCATCTAGATAGGGTAATATCTTCCCCTTCCCAACGGTAGGGATACACTAGACACTACTCATCTCTAATCCTTGGAACAATCGCTATCAAGACTGTTCTGTATACTCTCCTTGTGCAACGTCAGATCAAGAATGCTAATCAATAAAACCGCGAGCCCCAGAGTCAAGGATCAGTATGTCTCTGCATATTGTTAAATGCTCCGGAGAAGTTCCGCCAGTCGAAGAGTGAGCACATCGGGATCGAGTACTGGGGCGCCCTCAGCGTATCTCTATCCTTCCCAGGTTCTAACGTCCTTATGACCTCCCCGAAGGGCTCAATAGATCTCGCAGAACTTGGTGACGGGCAGCTCATACAACATTTTAGCCCAAGTACGACAACAACACTTACTATGCCTCATGACTAGTAGGTATGGTGCAATAGTGAGGTCAGGCTCTACGATCTCAGCGTACGTAGTACCATTATGTCCAGACTGAGCCATATCAAATCACCAGACTTCCCTCCCATTCTACCCACAGAAAGAGATGCTGCTAGTAAGATATATATCTATATAAATGTGTATATCGAAAGCATCCCACCATGAGTCAAGGTCTAAGAGAACTTAACAGAACGCCTAAGGTTCGTCTTAACTACTCAGTACAAATGTGTACAGAGTAAGTTCGAGCACAACAATTCTTTAGTGGCCAGTGCTCGTAGCGAGATCGAGAATATGCGAGATACATTCCTTCAGGTAACTTGGGTCTCGCTTACGTTTTTTAGAGACGGGTCACGAACTTAATTATTCATTAATTATTCATTCTTTTTATTACGAATGAAAATGAACCTCAGGTGTTGTTTCGAGCCACAACTAATTTAGCTCATCAGACAGGCTCAGCCCTAGTTTGGTTTAACTTGGTTCTCAACCAACCGCACCAGCTGATTGCGACTAGTAATTAAACTAGCTGAGATCCACACATCCTTATCCTCAAATTTCCCCCCCACCTCTGGACGGACTGCGACTGCATTTTTGCGACCTGGCCGGTGGTGTACTGCTGCTGATGCAACCATACGGAGTCTGCGTGATCCGGATATTCTTAGAATGAGAGGCCGGTTTACGAAGCTAGCTTGGACCCCTGAGATCTTCAAAGCACTTAGAGCAAGATAATATTGAAGACTATGAGCCATGCTCGTCCTCGAGACATTATTCGACGCCATTAAAATGATCTATAGCACAACTGGCAGCTTTGCACCCTTCTGTAGTGCTGGCCTTCACCGAGGCCACCTCCTGCAGATTTCCCGAGCAAGGGGAGCCTCGCTCAGAATTCGACGGATCCATGAACTGAGCTCAACGTCACAATGGGGATATATCTGGTGGCTGATATTTATTTAATAGTAGTACCACCGGTCAAGCTCCGACAGCGCAAAGCTGGCGTAGCGGAAAATCTCCCGCACTATTCGTAATCAATTCCGCGGCGCCAAAACCCTTGCACGAGCTCACATCACCGTCCATCGCCATCGCAGGAATTCCTCAGCGCTATCTCTTCTCACGGCGCAAAATGGAGAAGACAGGGCCGGCGGAGGCGAGCGAATGCCATGGGGAAATGGATAATAAGGTCGCATCTACAACGGTTCAAGCGCCCCGCGACAATGAAGCCCGACCGGCAGCCTTTTCATCCACCATTCAAGAGATCCTGTTCGTCGCTGTTGCGACCATGGCCATTGCCATGTCGTCCCTCCTCACTGGGACCATCACGGTGCTCACGTCCCAAGTTCAGAGGGACCTGAACATGACCACCGCGGAGCTGACGTGGCTGACCAGTTCCTCCTCGTGCGTCGTCTCATGTTTCCTGTCCATGGCGGTTCTGTGCTAATGGCCTCTCACCAGTCTGGCTTCCGGCTCCTTTCTCCTTTTCTTCGGTCGGTTGGCGGACCTCTTTGGCCGCAAAGCGCTTTTCATCGGTGGCATGGCTTTTTTTGCCGTCTTCGCCCTGGCTGCCGGGTTTTCCAAAACGCCCATGCAAGTCGACATTCTCAACGGTGTCATGGGCCTGATGTCGGCTTCGTCTGTCCCGCCCGCGCAGGGGATGCTAGCCAACATCTACCAGAAACCATCGAAAAGAAAGAACAGGGTCTTTGCCTGTTTCAGCGCCGGGAACCCCTTGGGCTTCGTCTTCGGTAGTATATTTTCCGGTATTGCTACGCAGCTGTTCAACTGGAGAGCCAGCTTCTTCTTACTGGCCATCATTTACGTCGTCATTGTAGCGATTGCGCTGTTCACCGTCCCAGCAGATAATACACCCACGGAGAAAATGTCCATCGAGGCCGTCAAGAGGTTCGACGTGGTGGGTACCATCTTGACCGTCGCCGGTATTGGCTTGTTTTCTGCTGCGCTGAGGTTAGCCATCTATCCCAGCCGACCAAGGCTCTGGCTAACACCCTCCCTCCAACAGTCTTGGCTCGGACGCTCCTCAAGGTTGGAAGACTCCGTACGTCCTCGTCTGCCTCATCCTAGGTGTCGTCCTCATTGTTGCCTTCGTCTTCTGGGAGTGCTGGTATTCATACCCCCTCATCCCCATGTCCATCTGGCGCGATCGTGACTTCTCGCTGGTCATCGCGGTTCTTCTGCTCGGCTTTCTCGCTTCCCAATTATGACATTCTGGATCTCTCTCTTCATGCAAGAGATTAAGCAATACTCCGCCCTTCCCGTCGCCGTGCACATGCTGCCCATGGCGATCATGGGCATCATCGTCAACATCATCGCAGGACTTATCATGCACCGCGTGTCCAATACCCTCCTTATGCTCCTTGGTGCCACTTCGTATGTCGGATCCTTCCTCCTGATGGGTCTTCAACACTCGGACAGTAGTTACTGGGCTTTCATCTTCCCGGGCTTGCTTCTCGCGGTGATCGGCGCCGACTTCGAATTCTGCGTGGCGAACATGTACGTCATGAGTTCTCTGCCGCCAGAACAGCAGAGTATCGCAGGAGGGATTTTCCAGACGGTGACAAAGCTATGTGTGGCCATCGGTATGGGGATCAGTACCGCCATCTTTGATGCGGTTCAGGCGAGAGGAACGGCGACAAGCGGGTATTTTAAAAATGACCCGATCGAGCCGTATAGTGCGACATTCCTGTACTGCGCAGGGATTGCCGCTCTTGGTATTCCACTGTGTGCATTTCTAAGAATTGGCGCACAGGGTCACGGTGGGGATGCAAAGAAGGGGACGGATGATGAGAAGGTCTGATGCTCATGCTTACCAATTAGTCAAAGTATAGATACCAAGGGACTGTCCCCTGGAAGGTCAAAAAGGCTGGAAAGATATAGACCAAACTAGATTAGATTAATAGATTTTTCACAATGTTCGATTTATCCCAGAAGAACGGTGTTGAAGACCAGCGTATAATCTACACATGCTTGAGTAGAGATCCTACTAGGTATGCTATCTTATAAACTTATCGACGGTCGGCGAGGTATACAGACCCATTCAGCCGCTAATCAGGGCTTACATGGTGCTCCTGTGTATATAAACTCCTCAATTACTGACTTCTATACTGATACCATTGGACATACTGGCGGGGGAAAAGTAGACCAACTACCACCCATAGTAGGTACGGGCACCTAATACGATAACGAAACAAACCACGTAATGAGAGAGGTTCAATGACCTTTTTGTAAATTCATCTACTGCAACATTTATAAAAAATGACAAAAAGCTATTTGCTAGACAAGGTCAATTGCACGGTTTTCACGCATTGAGCGATCTGCTGCAAGCACAATTGATAAGGATTGAATAGCATCATTCATATGTTGTGTGAGATCTCGATCTTCGCGAATGGCATCCAACAGAAACTGTTGCTCCCGAGAACATAGTTCATAATGGTCTGGCTCGCTCTCCATCGATAGGACCTGATCGCGAGCGCGCCCGTCAACCACGGTGCTCAAGCGTAGCTTTGATGTCTTCGTGTGGCTGTTGATATCGGCCGAAGCCCCAGCACTATCGCTGCTATCTGCCTCATCCATCACAATTGAAACTGATCCACGGGGGCCCATCACATCTTTCACGAAGTACGCTGTCTCCGATATCATTGGACCCCATCCGGCTTCATACCACCCCACCGATCCATTGGCAAATAACACCTGAAGATGACCATAGTTGACCTGTCCAGCTGACGGAAGATCATCGCAGAGACGAAGGCCCATGCCACGCACTTGGACTGGCTTGCTGTCAGCAATTTGCAACATCACATCCACATAATGCACGCCGCAGTCCACGATTGGGTTTTTCACATCCTGGATGAGACGTTTATGAATGGCCCACGCGTCACCACTAGAGCGCTGATTCAGGTTCATCCGCATGACAAACGGTGGGCCGAGCTGTCGAGCGCGGTGGATGAATTCGATCCAGCTAGGATGATGCCGGAGGATATAGCCGATGACCAACTTGCGATTTGTTTTCCGCGCTGTGCTCACCACACGTTCTGCATCTTCGACTGTTGTTGCTAGAGGTTTCTCTACAAAGACATGGGCCCCAGACTCCATCGCTGCCACGGCATAATCAGCATGAGTTGCCGTGTGCGTGTTGATTGACACAATATTGGGCTTCAGTGTGAGGGCCTCCTCGAAGCTAGATAAGAAAGGATATTCCTTAAGTTCATCCGGTAGGTTCTTGACTGGACTGCGATTATAGAGACCAATAATCTGAAAACCTGGGTTACGGTGGTACGCCAGGGCATGGCTGTGGCCCATCTGGCCCATGCCAACCACTACTACCGATAACCGCTGATCCGAATATGTTTCCATTTCAGAGTCTCTCGGACTGAATCTCTGTACGCTGCTTTACTGTAGAAGGAAGAAAGGTGAAAGCAGGAAGGAAGCAGCACTTTGCAGTTGAAGAGATGATTGTCTTTTAACCAAAACATAAGGATGGGCTAACCCTTGTTCAAGGGTAACATTAAGGATGGATGGAACGTTAAAATGCTTCTTTCATGTCACCTTACAGGAAAGGGATCTGTATGATGAGGAAGTGGAGTGCTGAATAATGTTTTAATTGGCTTGTCTATACTCCATAGTTGGCGCCATAGCGCAATCCTATCGAACGATTTATGACTCACGGATCCTTTCAATTCCGCTGTTAACCAAGTAGGACCAACATTATTACCAAGTCTAAATCACGAACTTTTATCCTAGGGGCCAAATTTACTGGGACCTACTTGTAACCCTGCGTTAACTCCACCAAGACAAGACGACTGTGGTTGACCTTGCGGTATTTGCTGACAGAGCCCCCCCAAATGTACCAGCGGTTCCGACCAAGCCAAGTCAATCATTACCGCGGCTCATAAGGTGACCCTTGTCGTCGTACACCTTACGTTTACGATATAGATGCAACGTCTTACGTCCACTTCTCGCTGAACCAACGGGCCGTGCCGTTATATCGCAGTTTTGTGCAATGTGAATATCGTAACGACAAGTGGTGTCAACATTGTTGAAGATCCAAAGGCAGAGCTTAGAAAAGTTGAAGTTTGGATACTCATGCAGAGGCGACTGAAAGGTCAATGCAAATGGCCATTTCAGAGATGGTAACCCCCAGTAGAATGGGTTTTCAAACGAAGAACAGCAGAGCTCTGAAGTCCTAAGGAGAGCAAGGTCGAAACGTTCTAATTAGCGTAATGCAATTTACTCGCTACATTAGGTGACTACGTAAATACTATACATCCCAACGAATCTGTAGGGTTCATAGCGACTATATCTCAGGATGCATCTAACCAAGAATGTTTGGGAGGATATAAAAGTAAAACTCTAATGACGTAGAAGATCACCAGCTAAGTAAACGGGGGTAAAACACACATACACACACACATATATATATATATGTGTAGTATATACATGATTAGACAATCATTTTCTCTGAGTTCAAGAGTCTTCTTCATCTATCGTCCCTTACTTCAAGCATTCTTCATTCTTCACTCGGCCATTTGCTGTGTCCCTGGTGCTGCCATGTGGTTTGTCCTTGGTTTGGATTCCCAAAGCATTTCCTCCAAAGGCCCCTAGTAGTGTGAAAACCTGTTTACACTGCCAACGCTTACCCCTTTCGTACCATAGAATATTCTAAATCCAGTGGATCGAAGCGGAAGGTGAAATATCCCCTTACACTCATAGATCCAGTACTGTGCAGCAGCAGCGATTATCAATTTCTTGTCTCACTGTGAGCTCAGTGGATTCCAGCGTGTTTTCAAGAGCATCGACTGTATGTAGTAAGGCCCTTTCATGAGCGCTTAAAAGAGAGGAAGCCAGAAGACGCGCGGTAAAAGCTTGGTAGTTTATCCATTTTGTGGCGACAGAATCAGACAAAGACTCAATTTCAGATTCCCGAGACCATAACGCTGTGGAATTGATAATTAGCAATCGTAATCAGTGCTACTAAGGGACGTGACTACGATACTTACAATCATGAATGTCGCGCCAACACCGCGGAAAGCCAAACTCTTTCTCGCCCGGCCAGTCCTGCTCGTTGGGCTGTGACGGCTTCGGGCGAGAAAACAATGCTTCGATCAGAGCGATAATGCAATCATGTGCTTCTCCATAGTCTTCCGCTATGGAGAGGAGCATCGCCCAAACCCTGCTGCTCTGGGTGGAATGCCATTGAGGCTGGTGGGAGCTGTTAAACTTGAGACTGTGTCGTGTAGGGGGAGTGTGCCTTCAAGATAGGACCGTAACGTCGTGAGCTCGGTGGGGTCAAGGAAAAAGAGGTCTCGATCGTGGGAGATGCGGGCGAACCACTCTGCGTACTGGCTCGCCATGGTGAATTCTATCTGATACCATTCAACTATTTCATTCCAAGTAGATGAAAGAAACGAGATGCGATACCGCCCCAAGATATAGGAATATCCCTTAAATAATGCGAATGACAAGGCATATCCCTGGGGCTTAGATCCTAGTTGCGGCCTTAGCTATGCTGACTACATTAGGGCTATTTTCTGCTCGGATGGCTGATCGCGACCAGTTTGGGAACTGGCACCTTAAATATTCCCCCTCCGTTTACTTTGTTAACGTAATACGGCCTGATTTGCACGAAGCCATCTGACTATTATCCTTGTCTTCAAAGTCATGCGGAATAGTTGTGATTGGGAGTGGCATGTTTGGTTCTTAGTCAGATCATGTAAGACATGAAACAACCCAGGTGAGCCCTACTAGATAATGGATTGAACCAAAATATCTTACTCTCTTATTGAAATGCGGGGAAGAGAGGCAAAGCTACTAGAGCCCATTGTATTTCCTACGCGCCCCTCAGCGATGGAACAACCCTGCGGCAGTTGGCCTGCCCCCCGGCCTAAATGATAACATAGAACTTCAACATCGCAGAAAGCGCAGTCTACTCGTCTTCCCTCGCATCCCCCCTCCCCCCTCTCAGTCCAATCGCGGTTCCTGAATTTAGTCATTGAATAGGACTGTCTCCCCGTCATGCCGTCCTTTCCTTTTTCCTGTGTGCCGATATTCATATTTTCTCAAAAATAAGGTTCCCCGTGTCAACTGGGCGGTAACGGCGTAACGCTTGGGGTCATTATCTATGTGGCTTACTTCTAAGAAGAACTTGACCTTACATAGGTACATCGCAACACTCAGAGCATGCCAGACAATCTCTCTAGACGAAACCATGGAGCGTTTACTAGAGCCATGAAGGCAGTAGCCAGTTTGATTATGCGCAACCGAACTGGTAATGAATTTACAGGTCCGAGGAACCGGTATGTCAACACTGGACAAAGTCAAAGATGCAGAGAGTACAAAAAAGGCTTACTTTGGCTCTGAACTGCTATTGAGTATGGAGAGTGATGGTTTACAATGGACACTTTGGCGAAGTGGATGGCGATGGCCGTATTAGGTCAATATAGCAACGTCATACTAGTATCAAGTCCTTTCATCACCCATGAAAATGGATCAGCAAATGTTGTAGGCTTAGGAGAGAGCTCGGGGCAACTGGTACAGGAAATTGCCGGCATTTGGAAGGCAATCTGCGACTGGATATCGCTTATAAGTAGCATACGATCGATATTCCGCGGATGGCCAGCTGCCCCACTTGTTAGCTTCTGAGTCGCTCGAGTTCATGGCGGTTTATACTTCTCATGGAATGTAAATCCCGAGAGAACGGTCGAGGAACCCCGCATCGTGGATCTACTCCAGGATAATGAGTGAGTTACGATGCCAGCGAGGGCTGCAGCTGATACGTGGTGTGACGATCATTGCTGTATATGGATACATTTTCGCCGAAGGTTTCCATATTCAGCGCGAATTTCGGCGAACATTACTCTCCTCCATAGTACCTTGCTGGAAATTGATGTGTAGGTAACTCTAGTCCATGGTAATGGACTGCACAGGATATGTTATAAAGATGTCCAAAATACCGAAGAATGGAGAGATGAGAAAAGAAGCGTGTATCCTGATAACTCGCCTCCAACACCCACGAGCCAGATATTCATCATAATCCGGACGAGATGTACAGCTTACTTCTCATCGTCACTTTCCATTTCCTCCTCATCTACTATATTGTGATACCGATTATCAACTACTTCCGCGACCCTAAGGGTCTCCGAAAGTACCCTAGTCTGACCTTTGTGTCCGGCATCTCTGACCTCCCACTCATTTACTACTCCCACAAAGGCATCCGCTCGCAGGCCCTCTTCGAAGCACACAAAAAGCACCCGGTCCTCCGAATTGGGCCCGATAAACTCTCCTACGCAGACCCCGTTGCCATCAAAGACATTTACGGACACGGGACGAAGTGTACCAAGGATGTCTTCTACTCAGCACTATCCGGCTCACACTACCACCTTGCAGACGTAGTGGACAAGGAAGAGCATGCTCGAAAGCGCAAAGTTCTCTCAAGCGCCTACGCCATCAAGAATCTTGAAAATTGGGAATACAAGGTGGCCGATATGACGCAACGCATCATCAAAGCATTCGATGAGAGATGTACCGGTCCATTGCGCAAAGGCCAAAATCCAGACCCCAAGGACCTTACTATAGATTATCGCATGTGGGCGAATCTGTACACCATCGCTGCCATTGCAAATATTGGACTGAGCGAAGATCTCCGATTTCTAGATCAAGGCAATGATATTATCGCGTCGGAAGCAAAAGATGGGACTGTGAAGAAGGTCCACTTTCGGGATTGTCTGTACGCCAATGCGTCCGCTACTTCGACTCTTGTGTGGGCCTATGATTGGTACGAGGCGATGGTCCGAGTCAGCAAACTGGTGTCCTCGACCTACCGCCAGAAATGGAAACTGGCTCAGGATTGGGACGGGATCGTGAACAACCGCGCGACAACACGGTGGAAGCGGTATGAGAAAGGAGAAAAGCTCGATGACTTCTTCTCTGCGCTCATGGAAGACAAGTCCGGTGCTGCAAATAACCTCGAATGGGGAGAAATCGTAGCTGAAGTGAGCATCATGATGAACGCTGGCTCTGATACCACAGGGATTTCCCTGAACAACGTGATGCTTCTTTTGCTGAAGAACCCGCACTGTCTGGAAAAGCTCCGGGAGGAAATCGACGGGGTCCTAGAAGACGATGAGGTTATTGCGCCTTATGACAAAGTGAAGCATCTGCCCTATTTGCGAGCTTGTCTCGATGAAAACATGCGCCTGTATCCCCCGGTGTCATTCCATGTTCCGCGCCGGACACCTCAGGAAGGTGCCACTATCAGAGGTGAATTTGTGGCGGGCGATACTTCCGTCGGTATATCGGCGTATGTGGTCCATCGCAACGAGGATATATTTCCAGACCCAGACACATATAAGCCTGAGCGCTGGCTCGGTGAAAAGGGTCGTGATCTTCAGCCATATTTTGTTGCTTTCAGTGCGGGTGCGAGAGGGTGCATCGGTCGTAATATCAGCTATCTAGAACAAACGATTCTTCTAGCTTCACTTGTGCATCGCTTCGAATTCGCTTTGCCGTCGCCGTCCTGGGAGCCGGTCAGGCATGAAACGACAAATTCTAACTCAGGACCTATGCCGCTGAAGGTGTGGAGGCGAGCAAGTAGGGTATGTGGGGATAGCTAGCCAACAAATGTGCGAATAGAGCTCTAGTTCATAGACCGTTCAATTCAACATCTTTCTTGCGCTTAGGCTAAGGCAACACTCATTATCCCAACCTTGGGGAACTACTAACAGGCTTAAACTGCTTTCTCAAGTATAAAACCACAGTTTTGGGAACGATAAGTTGATAGAGGAAACGTCAAAGTTTCCGCGATATCTAAATCTTACTTAATAGCCAGGCAAAAGGAACGCAACTATAGTCTGATGCGTGCAGGTACTCGGTGGCAGTTTTGATGGATGCATTCCAATAAATACACGAGTTATTACTCTATATTCAAAGAGATCATATAGCCAGGTATTGTATATGTACAATTCTCAAAATGTCTAAAGGTAAGTTCACAGAGTAGTCATCGTAATATATAGGTATCATCATCATGCACAGAGGACAAATGTTGGACACAGTTGGTCCCAAAAGATATTTAAACAACCATAAAAAAAACACATCTAAAGAAGGAAACTGATGACTGTAGCCGCAGCACAGATAGCAAGGCTGGGTCTCCAAGCAGGGGCAGCATTCTCCTCATCCTTGTCCGACGACGAGGTGCTGTTCTCTGACTGCTTGCCGCTGAGATCGCCAGGACCAAACGGCTTATACCCACCGCTAATGCTGGACGATTTCTTGGTGGAGTCCTTGACACACTTGCTGTCATCTGTGTATGCTGACCATGCAGCTTCCCATGCCGTTTCAGGTTCGAGCAGCATCTTCATGGTGTAGAAGATCCGGCAGTCGGCGTCTTCGTAGATATACTGAAGTGGGGTTCCTGACTCATCACCCTTGCGGATCTGGTCTTGAACCTGAATACGACTGCTGTAATCGCCCGCGCGAGTGAGAAGCACGTCGGGGTTGGCAAGCTTTGTGAGAGAGTCGTCATCCAGGGTTTCAATGCCCAAGGGTGCGGTGAGGTTCATCATTGTCTGGAGGGTAAGGGGGATGGTGTTCAATGGAATAACCTCTCCACCCTTGGAGCCACCAATGGTCTGCATGGCACCCTCCTGGGGACGACCACCAACGGCAATGGCTTTGACGCCTGCAATGTTCTTCAGCTCCTCGTGGAATGAAGCGCAGGAAGATCCACAAAGACCGTCAGAGAACATGACGATGTTTTCCGCCGCAAACGGAGGGTCTCCAGCGGGAGGGTTCAAGAATTTGAAGCCTGACTGGTCCAGGATGCTGACTGGGTTGCTATTGGACATCTGTATCCTGTAAGCTGGGACTGCTCGTTGTTCTAGGGATTCATAGGCTGCACTTACGTTGTACCTCATGATAGTTGTGAATTCATCATCGTTGTACTTGTGAGGACCGTAGAACTCATCCCACGATTTGAAGTTATCACCGTTAACATCGACAAAGTTCCAGTAAGCCCAATACCGGACGAGGCCAATATCGGCAAATCCTAGACCAGTTAGCTTTGCTCTATTTCACGGCGGACAGCTTTCTGCTTACTTTCGCCAGTAGCTTGCCTGATCAACCTCTGCACAGACTGATCCTCATAAACCGAACTGACAGCTTCGCCAATGAGCTTGTATTGCTCCTGTGCACGATATCTCTGAGCACTAAACGGCACTTCGCCGGGGAAGAGTTGCATGAAGGTATCGAGGAGAAGATCGGTGTCACCCCCACCGTTCTCTCGGAGGTCAATAATCAGCTTCTTCTTACCCGCGTCTGTGCAGTTGCCCAAAAACTGCTTCACCACGTCCTGGAACTCGATAGCAGCATCACTCCTCACAGACGAAGAAGTGTCAAAGGTAATAATCTTGAGGACCGCGACGTCTTCGAAATCAGACCCGTTCATAAAATAGCCAGCGACCATACCACTGCTGTGTTCAACAATTGGCCTGGGGTAGCCGTTGCTAGGGATGCTTTGCCGTTTCCAGTGATGAGGCGTTCCCTTGTAGGGCGTGTTCTTCATGGACGCGGCCGTTGCCTCGATGCTAGCAAAGCTACCGGTGCAGAGTTCTTCAAAGAACGACTTTCCGCTGGTTACTGCCGTCAGGTTTTGACGTACCTCAGCGAAGTTCCTGATGACGCGAGTGGTGTCATTTTTAAAAGTGATATTCGTCGTTGCTCCTTCATAAATGCCCAGACCGATGTTGACAAAACTGCCCGCCGAGGCGGCGGCGTTGCCCCTCCACATGAGGCTGTTGAACCGGGCATCGGCGTCGACGTACTGCTCCTGGGCGGCGATCTTGTTCAGATACGTTTGTGCATCTTCACCATTGATCTTAACGATTGGCGAAATTTCAATGCGAGCGTCGGAGTCTTTTTGCACAAGATCTGCGACAGCATAGGTCTCTGGCACACTGGTTCCGTCCTCTGAGACGGTAGTTACGGGGATCACACGTCCAAAATAGAAGACTTGGAGGATGTCGGGCACATAGTTGAAATGGAAGTTGCCTGTCTTCAGGGTCAACTTGTTGATCGCGAGCTGCACGTCGTATTCACTGTCATAGGAGGAAAGGTTTTCTTTGATCTTGTCCAATTCTCCAAGGAGGTCAACGGAGCCCAGTTCCCATGTGTCGGGGGTATTCTTCAAATAGCCAGTCTCCGAATGCCACTCCCACAGGAGCTTGAGCTGGTCAATGAGTGTCTTGTCTTGCTCCACAGCCACTGGCACAGATTTCAAGCACTCATAGGCCGTCTGGGCCGGGATGACTTGGCTCTCCTCGGCGAGTTGGCTAGCGCGTGCACACGGTTCCGAGGTGCCAGATGGTGCAGTATTCGAGGAAGTGGATGTAACGCTCTGGGCAGCAGCCAGAGCGGCCGAAACCAGAGTGATTCCGAAAAGACGCATGTTGCAAACCGCGCCCTAAGTCTGGTTTCTCGGAAGCCGCGGAAGAGGGGAATTAAGGGAGTTGACAAGCAAAAGGCTTCACGAACAAAGACTAATAGCGCGACAGACCACACCATTTATAACCACGAGGAGAAACAATACACTACGTTCTTGGCAACAGGGAGAAGAGAGGCGCAGCCTCATCAACTGTCCGAGGACAAGGCTGAAGAGGTGGGTCGAATGTGAACTTTGACTAGGGCTCTCCGAACGGTTTTCTTTTTTGGGAACTTGGGAACCCTAAACGACTTGTCAAATCTTTATGTCTTCGGCTGTCTGCAGGTTCTGAATACGACGTGGGCGCTAGGGAAATTTCCCCGGGCAAATAAGCACTACTTGTAAGCAAGCTGAACCCGACACAAACGGAAGAGTGTAACCACCCATAAGCATAACTTGATTATTGATTTATTTTGTTTATATTATGATTCCTTTTGCGGGCTATATTCGTGCCTACACGTTACCGTTGGGTATACTTGAGGGTGATCTGGTTCCCTTGCGGCGAGGCTCACTCCTATGACCCTCGTATGAGGCTATGGTGAATCGCTGACATCCCGTTCCAAAATTTCCATCGACAGGGTATTTTTCCGAAGGAAGTAAAGCGCCCCAGCAACCCGACAGCTCACCTTCCTGATGAAGAATAACGCAGGGTCTCAGAGACTGTGAGGGACTTTGGTCTGGAAGGTCAAGGTCTCCGGCCCCCACGGTCGAATTTGAGCAGAAGCCATCATTGATCCACTCTCTGAAGCTCTCAGGCGTGGGTGGCACTGAGTGCTGCCTGCTAAATCCATGGTACAAGGGCTGTGAGGTCTTGGCATCGTGCGATTCCCTCTCTGCCCGTAAACCTGAACAAGAGTTGAATTAGGAGCCCAACGATTGACTATTTTTGTTTCTGGCCCCAAAGACCGACGAGTAGCTTGTGGACTATTTTTATGAGATGTACTCCGAATTAGAGGATTCTGGAGACGGCCGTTCACTCCGTTATCTATGAGGCAATTGGCTCTTTTGTGGTGTTGTTGTTGTTTCACTTGTGGACCTCTGGGGAATAGGTCATGCAAACTGGCAGCGCTCTTGACGAACAGAAATCAGTTGATCAATTCCCATTCCATGGTTCTGCGCGTGCAGACCCAAGTCATCGACGATCGTATCATCGTAGAATATGAGTTGGGGCGTGGGCGAGTGCCAAGAATGTAGCCTGGAAGAGTGGATGATCCTGCTTCTTCAGTGACAAATGGAAGCCGGTCGTTCCGTGGTGGGGAAGAACTATCGAAACTTGGCAACGAAGAATGACTTCACTCCTCCAATTCCACCAACAGTGGATACGTCGATTTAATTTGCTGTATATGTTGCCCTGCAATTTTCATGTCCTGAACCCAAGCCATTCGCAGTTCTCTTTGGTTTGTTGAATCAACTCCCGCTGTTCCGGCAGTCAACCAGTGAAAGGCTCTTGGCGATGTAGCCTCACACCGTAGTTTCAGTTCCCCGTTGCTTTCTTGTCCCTATGAGGGAAAGTATACGTGAATGTCACTAACACCCGGGGATGATCCTTAGAGGGAAATTTGCAAACCCTCAGCTGTTTGCAAAGGGATTTAAATATCGCGTCACGTGTTAGGGTTCGCTCTTGTCAGCAGCACAATGATTCTGTGCTGTACAATCATTCAATGAGATCGGTCGGTATGTTCTATAAGGCTCAAGTGATAATCTCCTTGCCTGGAATTCTACAGCGGATCCGTGGCAGGGAACAATATGGCTTTGCATGCCTAAAGATGGACCACCTCCCAGGATACAGCAAGCCCACAGAGGCCGCAAACGTCCTTCTACAATCCTGCGTTTCTTCGCTTGTCCTTACCTCTCTAATCTCTGGACGGCCATAATGATAGGCTATAGACACAGCTTGGCTCAGCATACTACCCGAAGCATTACATCACGAGACTGTAAACACTGTTGCGGTTTGGATAAGTCTTGTTTGGCAGAGAAGCACTCCAAAGCCAACGTGCGCTTCAATCTCCATGAACCCAGATTCAGTCATGCGAGAGCAATGCTGGACAGTGAGTGACTCATTACTTCCACTCGTCGGGACGGATAGACGGCCGAATACGAAGTCGACCAAGTTTCCAGAAGGCCAACGGACTATAAATATGTGATGCGCAAACATACACACCGAGGCAAAAACCACAATACGATGTCCTTCCTTTATCGCTGGTTCGGACCCCTGTACGATGCTATTCTATGTCCAGGTCTGCCCTTGAGCATTCGCTGGCGCCTTGTCGCATTACAGCCGGTAGTCTTCCTTACAAATGCAATTCAATATTGGCGTGGCATACGTTCGAAACATCCCAAGACCACGATCTGGATTCCCTTGCGGCGTGCCCCGGGTCACTCCGTTCGCGCTATTGTATACCACCCCCTCGAGAAAGCGCCTAAGAATAAACCACGGGCTCTCCATCTCAACATTCACGGCGGCGGGTTCCTTGGAGGTCTCCCCGAAGGCAACACGCCGTTCTGTGATCGAGTCGCGGCAGAGACTGGGGCAGTAGTGATATCAACATCCCACCGATACTCCCCGCGATGTACTTTCCCCGTTGCGCACAGGGATGTCCAAGATGTAGCTGAATGGTTGATCGAAAACGCGGGGAGACTCTGGGACGCCGATCCGAGATTGCTGAGTGTGAGCGGATTCTCAACTGGAGGGAATCTGGCGCTGGGCGTTGCGCAATGGTTGGCCCGGTCGGAGTTCAACGTGAAGGCAGCGGTGATGTTTTACCCACCTGTAGGTTATACCTCCGTTTCTAGTGTGTTGGATGCTTGAAGATATTTTGTCTTGACTTACCCACAGGTTGATCTGCGGCTGTCGCCATGGGAAAAGCCGAAGCCGGCCACATATCCTGATACCGATCCTCTAGCTTTTGTTTGGCCCTTAATGGACGCATATGCCGGAACAGAGCGAGAAAAGTATCGGGATAACTCAATGCTCCATCCCATTCTGGCAGATATCGAGTTACTGCCAAGGAATATGCTGTTTATTTGTGCGAAAGTCGATATTCTTCTCCATGAGCAAACATTGTTTGTGAATAGACTGAAAGACGAAGCTGCAGCCCTTAATCGCAAAATCGAGTGCTCACAAGAAATATCTCAAGGTCATCCGACCAATAGGAGAGACAGAGTATCGCTGGCGTCAGGATGTGAGTCGGCTGCTCGCCGTCCTTATCACATCGAGGACATGTTCTTCGACGATCAGATACATGGATGGATTGAGGGTAAGTGGCTATATATCTGCATGTTGTTATACACGCTAACTATGGTTGGTAAGCAGTGCCTTCAATGTTCATCGATACCAAACTGAGAGACCAGGTCTATCATGATGCAGTGCGGTTTCTGGACAAAGTCTATACTTCCCAAGGATGAGCTGGCTTTCCTCTGCGGAATTCAATGTATCAGATGTAAAACGGTAATCTCCTGTTAAATCCTTCAATGATCCTTCAATCCCCCCTCCATCATATGTACATAGCAAGCCAGGGTCTCCTCTCATTACAATTACATTAATTAACAAATTTGTGGCTCGGTATCTAGTTGGCTATCCGGCGTAACACTATATTACAGCGAACAATCACAGCGAACGAAGGCTACAAGACGCAAGCACTGGCCACGTCAGCGACTGCATTCCCACAGCGCCTACCTGCAGCTAGACTTATTGGCGAATCACGCAAAGTCCAATGAGTCGAACAGAGACTGCGCAAGGCTGTGACGCGGGGCAGTAGCCTTCTCCCACACCTCGGCGCTTGTGGTCCATAAATATACGACATTGCAGCAACACTACACACACAGTCTCTCTCTCTCTCTCTGTCTCTTTGCAGACTACCAAATTCATTATGGCACAAACAACTGAATACAAGGCCGAGTATCATCACTTCATTCCGCGATTTCTCCTGCGCCAGTTCGCAGCTCTCGAGCAACCCTCACCTTCGCGTCGTTCGAGAAGAAGAAAGCCACGCGGCCAAAGACCACAAGGGCAGTCGCCCAAGGACCCGTTCGTCAATGCGATAGACTTGAAGAAGAATGCCCTGGTCCAAGTATCCGTATCACGCGAGTTTGGACTCGTGGACATGTACCGCGATCAAGGGTACTCGAACCCTAGACATATTGAGGATAATCTCGGAAAGTTGGAAGGCCATGCGGGTAGAATCATCAAAAGAGCATCAGATACATTTAGAGCCGGTCAGACACTTGAATTAACTCGCCGCGAAAGGGATACTATAAGAAAGTTCCTCTTTCTCATGAAATACCGGAACTCCACTTTCTATGCGCGATACAACCATGACAGCATCTCCACATACGATGCTAACGACAAACACCACATGGAACGCTACATGCGGGAAAAGAGATTCAAGTCGCCTCGTGATATCTGGTTTGCCAATCTCAAGACATTCTTGGATCTCGAGATGGATCCCGGCATGCTGTGGATCAACAAGGTTCAAAAACAGGCCTTCCCAGATGATGCAATGATGTTCATTGATCACATGCAGTTCAAATTTATGGCATTCTGTCAGCCTTTATCAGAGGAAGATGAGTTCATATTGACCCATAATGCGTATAGTGTCTTTGAGGGCCCTTCGGATGTCCACATTGACCCCGCCACCGGAAGGGTAGTCGAAGGAGTGTACACGGAATACCATACTTTTGCTCCGATTTCTGCGACACTCATCATTGTCTTGAGAAGCTCACTGCTCGTAGACCCCTCAAAGGAAGGCGCAGAGGATCTTCAGGGCGCGTGGGAAACGCTGCGGGAAACAGTCCGACAACAGCATCAAGCCCCTGATAGAGCCGTCTCGATGCTCCAATACCTGCCTATCAAGAAGTGTGGGAACTCGTACTCGACTACCATCAATGGGAAGCTCGTTCTGAAGCCGAACCGGGGCCCTCGGTCCCAAGACAGGTTCTACTTTACCTGTTTCCGTATATCTTCCTACTATGTCAATTTGATCAATACTATCTTCCTCGAGCAGGCAACTAAAGGAGACACTATAGTCTATAAATCTGGGTCGGCTCTTGGGAGAACCCTCAAATCATATCTCGAAACCGGCAGGCAGGGCTTCAAATTAGTGACTGAGGAGACCAATGACCGTCACCTGGCATTCCTACAGAAATTGGAGAAGATTGCAGGGCAATTAGTTGGGAAGGTCTGCCTGAGGTACAAGACCGTCGCACTCCCAAAGCCTCAGACCCATATGTCCCAGTGGGTTGCGGATATAGTTGGGTTGCAATTAGTTGGGTTGTCTGGCAAGTCCGATGCACCAGAAGCATACAAGCTCATGAAACCAGGTGAATGCCCCTTTAAATAGCTTTGCAAAGTACGGCCAAGAACTTACGATCATGTGCAGACGGGGGGTTGGACACCTATTTTCGTGACCTCGTGCAGTCGCAGCTTATGGTTTTCTTAAAGATCAAGATCGATGTGATTCTGAGCCGTTCCAAGTTAACACAAGATGACAGGTTGGATGTTAAATATCAGTTGCAGCAGCTATATATCACGTTTCCTGCGCAGCGTGTCTGGCTTTACGTGAAGATGATGCGAAATCTACCGAACTTCGACAGTCGAGACTTTAAGCAGATCCGTGAGCTAGAGATCAACGGGCCTGAGGATGATGTTGCGAAATGTGAGTATGCACGACCCAAGATTCTATGAGTCAATATTTATTTAGCTCGATCACAGTGATTGCTCTATATCCATCGCGGACCAGTCAGCTCACAATGTTGATGTTTTTGAAAGCCCAAATGACGGCTTCAGCCCTTATGTAACTGGTTGAGGCAATGTTTATCCCCGGAAAGCCTCTCCCTTGGGGAGGTCCATGAACCCATACATATTCATCTTGGGTGCATCTTCCTGGACCTGCTGGGCCCATTGTCCCAGGTGCTTCATGAAGAGCGCCAGGTTCTTTTCGTTGCTCAGATCAATCGGCTGCTCATCCTTGCCCACTTGCTTCATTTGTGTACCCGCGGCGGCGCTTGTCAAGCCGAAGTTCTGCTGGTCGACCTTCTGCTCAATCACACCAGCCACTCGGCCCTCAAGGATATCGCGGGGAAGGTTAAATTCTTGACAAGCAGGTCGAGCCAAACCAACACCATCCACCGTCTCCAGTGCAGCCACCATTCCCGCAGCCGTCCGGAGACCGCCCGTAACGTAGCTCTTTGTTTTGCTCAGCACGGGGGTAATCAGGGATGCAAATTCCAGGAAGAACGCCTCCCGGTTCTTGGTGGAATCCCGCTCGCGCGAGAACGCGGGTGCCTCATACGTTCCACCGGAGAGCTCCACAAAGTCGAACTCATTGTGTTCCAGAATCTGACAAAGTTGCTGGGCTTCGGCCGGGGTGAATCCCTCGGCCTGGAACTCGACCGAGTTGATCTTGATACCCAGAATAAACCCTGACGATGACGGCAACTCCTGTCGAATAGACCGGGCAACCTCCACAATCAGACGTGCCCGGTTCTCCAAGCTTCCACCATACTCATCGGTCCTCTGGTTCGTGGTCTGCGACAGGAACTGGGCCAGCAGATACCCGTGCGCGCCATGCAGCTGGATTCCATCGAATCCCGCCTTGTGGAGATAGACCGCGGCATGAGTCCATCTTTTAATGAGATCCTGGATCTCGTCCTTCGAGGCCGCATGTGGTTTTGCAAACTTCATCTTGATCGCCTCCGTCTGCAGCTGCACATCACTTGCCGATACGGGATCGGCCTGTACCCGCTCTTCCACCTGGCGACCGGGATGACTGACCTGCGCGACGATCAAACTGCCATGTTTCTTCGACTCCGACGCCATGCGAGAGAACGCCTCAAAACGTTCCCCATGGAAGGGGTTCTCCAGGTCAATGATGGGGTTTCCCGGGGCTTCTAGCTGATCGTATGCGATCATGATATTTCCGGTGGAGACCACGCCATAGCCACTCTCCCCCCAGCGCTTGTACAGGTTGATCAACTCATTGCTGGGAATTCCACGCGCTTTCAGATCTGTCGGGGACCAAGAGGATAACCGCTCCGTCATGGCACCCTTGTAGAAACGGTTGGGCGCGGTTCGCTGGCTGAAGGCGAAGTGGAGCGGCTCCCCCAGCGGGGTTACATCTACCGAGTCAGAGTGGTATCTCGCAGCCATCTTGTTTCTGAAGTCGTATCGGACTCGTCAGAACGGTACGGATATGAGATTCGTGCTGGAAGAGAGTCGTGAAAACGCAAAATTGCAGTGAAATTGGGAACGTGTTGCCGGCATTTTGTCGCCAGCTATACTAATCAAAAAAATGCAATTGATTTCAAAGCATGATGGGTCTCCAGTGCCCCCATGCTTGGCCGGGGAACGAATAATATTTAGCGATTCGATCCCACAATCCGACTCTTGTGCCGAAGTGGCTGCATTGGGACAGCATTGCTGACTACTAGTACGTGAAAGAAGCTCGTCTGCACAAGAGTGAGGCCGGATGGGCGTTAAGCCTAATCCAGTCGAAGTGTGTCTTACTCATGTCTTACTCATCTGTATCCTCAGGCATCTTCTGCAGTATGGTCACGTGAAATATGTATCATACAGAGTATGCGTGAAAAAGACCGTTGAATTTAGGATCGATTCCAAGCGTAGAAAAGTTCAGACTTAACCGATTTCTTTAGTCCTACGTGGCTGCTGGAGACCGTCTTCTTATTTAATCTTGATCATTTCCGTTATTATTTGGTGACATCTCTGCTCTATATAGGCCTTGAATCCACTACAAGAACCCCCTCTCTCCTCAAAGAAAAAAAAAACAAAACAAAACAAAACAAAAACAAAACAAAAAAAAGGGGGCAAAAGGTAAGGACAGGAAGACAAGTCACTCCCCAGCTCTAAAAGTACAGAAGTTAAGTGTATCCAGAACAACGCCCTTTTTCTCCACGGCTTTCCTTCTTCTCCCCTCAAACTGATACCCCGCCTTCACCAACACTTTTTGACTGGCTTCATTCCCATCATATACCTCCGCCTCTAGCTTTAAAACATGTGCAAAATTCTCAAAAGCCCACGCAGTCATTGCAGATATTGCTTCCGTAGCAATCCCCTTTCCCCAGTGGTCTTGACCCACCCAGTACCCGATCTCCATCGTCCGATAGTATACATCGTCTCTGGCTTTTAACCCAATGCTTCCGATGGCGATGTTATCCTCCCGCCGGCTAATGACGAAGTTGAGGACCGGCGAGCCAGCGTTCGCGATGGAAATCCAGACCTTGGCGTCTTCGATGGTGTAGGCTCGGGGAATCGGCTGCGTAGCCAACGGGCGATTTCCGGGTTGTTGCCTTCTTTGGCGATGGCTTCTACATCGCCCGCGTAGAAGGGGCGGATGAGGTGGTTGGACAGTTGGAGGATGGGGGTCGGTGCGTCCATTCTGTATTTTTGGTTGGTTTTTTTCCTGCGTTGGTATGTCTAGTATGAGTGCTGGATGTGAATGTATTGCTGAGTACTTTCATCAGTATTTATACTCCAAGTTGGGTCATTAGGAGTTCCTGTCTACATAAGAGGCACGTTCTAATGCATGACCCTGTGGTCAACTCTGCTGTCTTCGAATACAAAGTATGTGGCGGGTCGTATGAACAGTTGAGAATTTGGAACAAGAGACTGTGATCTGTTGACTGGGATCATGATCTTTATATA